TAAAATTTGAACAGTCGATAAAAAGTATCATTCAATTGTAAAATGTGAAAAAAGTAATGTTCAAAAAAGTGTACTCAACACGAGTCCATAGTCCGCATGGACGGCGTTGGACACATCATTATGACGCTACGGCAGTAGTCTACAGATCGCACACATAATATTAAAATATATTTGTCATAATTTGATTGTTTTTTCTTTAACTGTTTTAATATATATATATATACACACACACATATATATTTCAACAAACAAGCTTTGAATAAAATCGAATTAGAGGTCGAAGCGGTTAAATGTACCTCCTAATAATATAGAAAATTGTATTCATTTCTGTTCGTTTTATGTGCGTAGCGTGACTACGTCTGTTATTATACGTTCCATCACGTATAACTACCAGGCACCGACTAATGACTATTATATATTTTGATATTTATGTTTATTAGGTAATAATATTATATCATGTAGGTACATGAAATTTGGACAGAGTATATTATATGTAAACTGTCTATTGTCTATTTGCTTGTGTGTCTAACCGTTGAACGAACAATCACAATTAATTTGTGTGTGTTGTTTTATTTTTCATGATACCTATGTTATAGCACGCCCCGTTTCTAATCTAATTATAGCGGTTACCAGCGATCATCGGTCTTTGGTTGTATTTTAACTTACAACGAACATAATCGACTGCAGCGCATAAAACAAATTAAAATGAAAATATTTTAAATAAATCTCCAATGAATTTTACAAAAAAAAAATGCTCTTAACTACTAATTGTTTGGTTTTTGAACATCATCAGTTCGCTGTAAGTATCGTCCAATCTCTAATATAATATTTAATTAAAATATTATTACCTAGGTATTATTTTTTTGATCTGTGTCTACTAATTACTATAATTTTTATTTCATTGGTGTTTTTATTAAAATATATGTGTAAGGTACCTAGACACTAAAGGGTATGTATTATTAATTAACTATATCAGTTTGAATAATAATTCCTATTTTAATAAAAAAGTTAACATTTTAATCAATATTATTACAAAAGACTAGAGATAAAATATATGATGAAGAATGATAATGACTTAGAATTTTTTTTAGTCATTTTAAGTACATTCTTAAATCATCAACACTTTTTAATTATTGCATTTAATATCTATACATTGATTATTAAATCTCAAAGTACAAACTAAAATTAAAGAAAATTTAAAAAAAGATTGGAATAAAATTCAAGTTTAAAAAGAGTGCATCTTATAAATCACGTAACTCATCAATTTCTAAGTGATTTTTAAATTCAACATAGTAGGTATAATAGCATAGATAATTTTTATTTTTTATAATCAATGGTACCTAATATGTGTACTGAATTTAATTCAAATTTCAATATATATAATATATATTATTATTGATATTTTGAAAAAAAATTATCATGACAATCAAATTATAAATAAATGCGAGTAATGCATAAAAATGTAGGTAAATGTAAAGAGACTACACATTAAATTTTATAAATGATTGATTTTACGTTGTATTGTCACAATGTAGGTAACTATGTAAGAAGGAGTCCTTTAATAGCCAGGATTAAAATTTTGTGGATCGAAAAGTCCCGTACCTTAAATTTTGGATTATATAATATCCAGGAGACCAGGACTATATTAAGATTACGAAGTATAAGATTCCAAAAAGTAAAACTATGGATCATAAGATTCCGGAAAAAATCATTGGTTCCTAAAAATTAATGAAAACTATACATTTCTTCTTAATTAAACTTCTTTTAAAACATATAATAGATATGTTGAAAATATGCTTATATTATAATTACTTAATAATTATAGTTTGTTAATGTAATTATAGTTAAGTCAAACGGATTAAAATGTACCAAATCTATGATTATTCAGACATTCAATCGTGGAAAATTAGGATTGAACGCAAATTTGAAAATAAATTAATTGAAATTATTGTATTTGATGAAGTATTATATACTTACTACATCAGTATAGACAGTAGGTATTAAATATTAATGATGCGTGTTTTACGCCGTTTATTTTAAGAGCTAATAATTTCTGATGTCTGTATTATTTTTCATCCAGATTCATTATATAAGAGTTCTTAAATAACTCACCAGTCTCACCTCGCAAGAAAAAAAACTGAAGTAGGTTAGAGATTAGAAAACGTAGGGGGCAAGAGGACAGAGTCCAATAAAACGATAAAAAAAATAAATATTATCATGTATTTGGTTCTACATAAAATATTATGTTATATTATTATAAGTGTATGGCTGTATATGTTACCTATATGATATAACATATACATATCTCTAGTTAGTGTTTGAAAAAGTATATTTAATTAGATAGGTACCTACGTAACAATTCAGTGGCGAGCAAGATATTTTGTTTTAGGTATAGCGATGTACAATTTTGCACACCCATGCCCGATCTAAGTTTAACGGTTTATTAGCTTTGTTAATTTGTTAAGTTAGTATTGAAAGGCGATAGAATCAAATTATTTACGAGATTCCACTTAAAATAGATTTAATTGTATTAATTATTTCGAAAAATTGTATAGTCTACTTTAATTCGAACATATATATATATATATATATATATATTTGAATATGTCTAATTATTATATTAATTTATTAAATGTTAGGACTAACAATCAATTAAAACAAACCAAATACCAATGACCAATCAAATCAATAATTAAATATCTATTGATAATCAATTGGAATATTCATATTAATTAATTACTTATCATCTAGCTTAGTATCTTCCTATTACATACATGATACACTACAACTAAATATATACTAATAAAATGTAAAGTTTTAATCAATGTAGATGATTTAGGCAACTGATTTTTTACTAAATTAATTAATTATTGATTATATTTATAAGCTATAACTTATATTATTGTTTATTTCGACAAACCATAATCACATCAATATTTAAAAATTATAATCGATTTTTAATTTTTTAGTAATTACCACCTACTGTTATCTAATGTTAAGTATTCCTATTTATAATGTCTGCTATATATATCTAATATTAAGTGCCACCGAAATAATTTTTCTAAAAAAAATTAAACTTTTTTTCAACACCAAAACTGTTTAATTTATATGATTCAAATATTGATAAAGATAACTATAATTGTATCTGTTCAATAAACATTGAAAGTAACGATTGTTTATTAAAATAATTGTTCACAAACCTACATATAATACACAATATTATGTGTTTAAAAATTTAAATAATTTCTAACAAAAATAATCTATTTGTCATTTTAATAAAAAAAAAAAATGAACTATGTAAGTATTATTTTTTAATAAGTACTTTACATTATTTTAAGATTAAACTGAGCATTTCTAAATTTCTTAATACATTTTTAAACAATTTGAATTATACTAGTTAAAGCACAGTAATATTATTTCAGTTTTCAATGATGAGTTTTATATAAGTACTTGAAAAAATAACTTTCATATTATATAAGTTACATTCTGACAATATGTAAATAATAATAACAATATCAATATTTTTTTTCATATTTCTCAGTAATTACCTTTCATATCTCACTTTTTGTAAAAATTAAAGGCTATTATTTAACTACTACTAACTATTAATAAAATATACAAAAATACACAAATTTAGCATTAAAAAAAATGTTTATTTATTGTAAATAATATATAATTATTATAATAGTTGACATCAGTGGCATAGTTATGAGAGAGGGGGGATGATGGGGATAAATCCTCTCAAGTACTTTTTTTTATATTTAATGCATTGACTTATATTTAATATAAGATTGTTTGATAATAAAATTACCCATATTGTGTTATAATTACAGATATAATACGCAATATAGGACTATAAAGATGAAGTTTGGATTTTATTTATCCAGTAAATTATATATCCCTCTCCTCCTCAGAACAAAATTATAACTATGCCATAATTTGACATTGATGTGTACAAAATATTTTTTTAGTATTGTTTTGAACCATTCAACATATTTTATTTTATATTGAACAGTTTATGATTTTTTTAAAATTTTTAATAGACCAACAAAGGTATTTTTGACAACTAAAACAGTAATATTATTGAAAATATAAGCTAAAAAACAAATTTATGAGATTTTCAAAAGTGAATCATTTAATACTTCATATTATTTAAAGAAATGCATAAAAACAAATAATAGTAAATTTGAATTTATTGTTTATTTTTCATATAATCCAATAAGGTTCACAAGTAAAATTTGTTCTATTTACTTTGTTATAAATTTATAATGTGTAATAACTAGGGTTCAGGACTTAAAATAAAACACCTAAAATATGCAAAACTATATAATAAAAAATTTTGAATTTAAATTCTTATACTAAAAAACAAATATGTATCAAATCCAATTTTATTGCATCTATTTTCAGAACAAATATGCAAATGTATTAAGTCCTGAGCCCCTGTAATAATTAATAAGTTATCTCATACCACTTAATTCTATTAAAAAACACTCCAAGTATCCATAAGTATAATTTAATTTTAAAACACACAGTTCAAAATAATGAGATATTTTGATAATTGTAAGAAATGGGATTTAAACATTTAAATATTATATTTTATTATTAAAACAGTTAACTTTAGTATGATTAACTTATATGTTACTAGTAAATACCTATTTATTAATTATACTTAAAATTATAACAGTGGGTTACTCAAGTAGCTGTTGCATTTACACTGACTCAACACTGTATAATATTAAAATTAATTATTGCGCTTTCATACAAATGCAATTAGCAAAAGTTAAATTTACCATAAAAAATTTAAAAAAAAAAAAATCACACAATTGTCAAAAAGAAATTAATATTACTGATACTTGGTAAATATTTACAGATTTCGAATTAATAAATATACATAATACTTGCTTAAATATAAATGTATAGATACCATTATTTAAATAATAAAAATAAATTTATAATATATGTCATTTATTACTATAATTATTTTGTTGGCTTACAACAATTAAAAAATCAAGTCAAAATTCTACAATATACTTTATTATATACGAGTATTCTTCTTTATTATAAATATAAGCTAAAAATCATCTACCGGCGGGCTGTTAACGAAATACATTTTATACTTAATTTTTTTATAGTACAATGTATTGGACTATGTTGTAAAAAATTATTAAAATAATAAAACTCAAGAAAAAAAAATAAAATAAAAATAAATCACGGTCTCTTATAAATCATGAGTAACAAATAAAAATTACAAGTCTTCTTAATAATATACGAGTCAAATAATTTGTATTGATGTGAGAAAATATTAAATAATAAGTATAATAATGCATTTACAACATTAACAGTCCAACAGTATTACTACACTCGTAGTATTTCTAACGACTTATTATAACAAATAGCGATCCAATCTGGTTGAGTGGCACCCCATTGGATTTGATTAATTTCACCTTCTGCAGCAGTATATGCCAGGATTGGATCTTCTATAGCCCTAGGCATTTGTTGAATATCCCATATAAGGGCCTGATGATCATCACCTGAATACGAGTGGTCATAATTTTTCATACACAAAATAAAACATATAAACATATTATACATACCAGCAGTGCATATATGGCAAGATGAATGTGGAGCCCATGCAATTCCATTAACACATGCCCTATGATTGTTTAATCTAGCAACAGGCGTACAAGGCACTCTGACATCCAATATAATGACCTTTGAACAAAAATAATTTATAATGTATTCAGTAAACAAATAAATAAAATAATAAATATTATTCACTTCGCATGCATCCATAGCAACTGTAGCAAGATAATTTGGGTCTTGCTTATTCCATGCAAGTCTGAGTAATGGAGAGTGTTGAGGATCTTCATAAATTATTGTAGAATGTTCTAAATGTCGCAGATCAAACATCCTAACTGAACCATCAGCTCCTGTAATAAAAATAATAAGATTTTAGATATTAAATATATTAAATACATATTAATTTTGTTTACATACCAACAGAAGCAAACATATCACGGCCACCTCCAGCACGACTAAAGGCTATATCATATACTTCTTTATCATGAGCAATAAGTTGAGTCTTAACATGCCCAGCAACAGAATTAATTCGTCCAACAATCTAAAAATTTAATTTAAAAAATTACCAACATAATTTTAAATTATTTTTACCAATTAAATATTGTTGATAAAATTACCTGAGTTGTTTCAAGACCCCAAATTGTACATGTGGTATCTATACTTGATGTACCAATTAAGTTTGGATCAACTTCATTCCAGTCAAATGATGTTAATGGAGCACAAAAGTCTGAATTTTTGTTCTGATAACATTATAAAATAAAGAGTATTGAAATATTACAATTTTCAAAAATACAGAAAAGTAAATTTTTTAAATTTTTGTTTTATTTAGAACCATTATTAGAAATGTATTATTGAAAATTTAAATATTAACAATAAGCAATGAAACAAACATTTAAATAATTTAAAGTTTGAATACTTACATTATTAAGAATGCATTCCAATCTTGTTTCTGGTTCACCTGCTCTCCAAATTCGTAAATAATCACCACTTGTGGCTAATAAATCAGGAAATACTCCTTTCTATAATGTAAATAAAGTATAATAAGAAATTTATCAATAATAATCAAAAAATAAATAACATCCATGGTACAATACACAATACATACACTATCAGGAATCCACATAATTTTTGTTGTTGGATACGGATGATCAAATGTGCTCTTAGGACTAAATTCCGATATTTCTTCGTCTAATGACACAATTTGTACTTTGTTATTGTATTCCTCTACAAAACTCCCAATCGCCAGGCTAAAAAAATAAAAACTCACATTAAAGAAATACATAATTATTGGGTCATGTTTCACTATTACCGAAATCGCTTGTCAGGTCGTACAGACCAGTTCATACTGTACAGTGGCCATGGTGCCTCGTGTTTGTAAATTTCTTTACGCTTAGGTGTAGAACCGTGAACAGCCATTTTTGATATAATAATAGTGAACCAAAAATGTATACAATATTTAAAAATACACACCTAATAACATAATATTATTAAATTAATGAGGAAACATATTTTAACAGCATAGAGTGAGATATTTTTGTAAAAACCTGGTCAAAATTTTAATAAATTTAAAAATAAATTATTGTTCATAGACAACACTATATTATTGTTTAAAAACATTATCTGAAAGTAATAATTTTTTTTATTGTTTAAGTGCCACCGTTCTATTAAATAAACATAAATATTAGGGTTAGTATTACAAGTACTTTTTTACCATTTTGTACCTGCATAAAGATAAAATCAATTCAGACAACCAACATTTATAAGCACAAATAAAGGATCAAAACACATTAGTTATAATTTTGTATTAAAAATATAAGTTTTTCTCTTTAGTTATTTATTTTGATGAGTGGACAACACATAAATACTTAAATAATTTCAGCTCAATAATCAAAGAAATTATGTGAATTCTCAAGGTATTAATACTCAAAATAAAAACATCATAATTGGATCCAAAAATAACAATGAAGAAAACTATTAGAAGTAACAACACTAGATTGCTTCACTACTAACTGGATTTTTAAGAAATTGTCGAATAAGTAAATTAATTTAAAAAAATATTTTTTTATTAATTTTATATATATATTTTTTAAATAAGTATATATATATATATATATATATATATTATGCATAAAAATAATAATAATAATGTTCACAATGACTCTTCTTGATTGTTTTATTATCTAATTGTTTAAATATTATTGTAGTCCACACATTTTGCCACATATAAATTAAATGCCAGTTAAATATTCAACACAAAAATGTTGTAAGTATTTCATTATAGTTGTTTAATTGTGAAAAAAAATAGGTAGATAACATCTATTAAATAAAATATAGAAAAGTGTGAATATTAATTGTTTTGGATGTTTATTAGAATTAATAATTAAAATAGTTTTCATTTATAGGTACACATTGTAAGTAATGAATTAATTTTTTTTAATCAAAAACTATAGGAGATCAGTTAATAAACATTCTCGTTAAGAGTTATATCAACACATTAGTTATGACCAGGGCTCAGAACTTAGGCATTTGTATATTTGTTTAAAAAGTGAATATTTAACTTCTGGTTTGATACAATTTCGATCCATACTATGTATATTTCAAATACCTACAAAAATTTTTGTTGCGTAATTTTGCATATTTCGTTATTTTTATAAGAATTTGCATATTTTATGTTTAAGAACTTTTAAATGCATAATACATAAATATATCAAAAATAATATTTCTTTTTCTAAAATTTTAGTTCAACAAAAAGTATTAGATATATGACAAAGTTCTAAATTTTATACCGTTTAAAAAATAAATTAATTCATTAACGATTTTATTTGTATTGTTCACAATGCACAAAACATTAATATTATAACTTATATAGTACTAATAACTCGTAATAGTGACTGCCAACTGGCCCGTATTTATTTTTATTCAAATTTACCACTACATTAATATTTGGTACCGTGATGCAAATAAATTGTAACATAGCAATGCACAAGTGTGCAAAGGTAAATAATTTTTTTTCTCGGGTACCTAATTTAAATTTTGTTAGTAAAATGTACTTTATTCAATAAATTGCATATTTTTGCATATTTTCCAAATTTTACTGCTTATTATAACACATATTTTGATGTTTTTTAAGCAGTACTTTTTAATGCATTAAGTTCCAAGCCTTGGTTATGACTTATAACACTGTGATGACAGAAAAAAATAACATTTTTGTGTAATCTGCAGTTTCTGACATCATACACTAACTGCCCCCGCTATTGTTAAATGTAATTTATAAATTGAAATTGAATACCGATTTCTTCGAGAAAATGTCCTATCGCGCTACGATGAAACCGCATTAAGCACTATTATGGACGAACATCTCTAGAGAACCTATATCATCATATCATATAATGAGACTTGGAAATTTAAAATACTCTGTCAAAAACGAAAAACGCCGAGAGATTTAACCACCGATCACGTTTACTTACAAGCTGTGCTGTTCACTGACTCCGCTCAGACGCAATTGGTGCTCAATACCGGTCGGGTGTCCGTCGTCCGCCTTGATGCATGGTATGCGTTCGTTATCGTTACTTATTCACCGTCGACGACTCGGCATTTAAATGTCGCTCTCACAGCCAAAAACCGGCGAGTGTGTTCACGGTCGTCGGAATACCTGTTACCGCTTGGCGACGATCGACGTTCGTACCGCTTTGTCGGGAGCTCACCTGTGTCCGTCGCGTCCAGAGACGCAGCGTTTCACTGATAACTGAAGCGAACGACAATCGCGGACGGGTTACCGGTCGGGCGGAAATAGCGGAGCGGTGGGAAACGGAAATGGTGGTGGCGACGGCGGCGAAATACCGACTAAAATTAATAGTTATTACTTATTACTTATTATTATTGCGGTTCGCGTCGCGCAAACGACGACGGTAGTGGGGGGCAGACGAGTGGGGAAAAAAAGACAATGACGGAAACGCGGACCGCCGCAAGATAAGTAACACACAATCGCAATAATAACAACAACGATTATTGTTGTTGATGATATAAATGATGTTGGAAAACGTAAACAAACGCCGCAACGATACGTTGTGCGACGGCCGTGGCGAATCGGTGCGTGACTTTTGTCGCGTTTTTGGAGGTAAGAGACCTCTTCGTTTGTGGAGAACGGTGGAGGCAACACTGGTTTGCTAGCGATTATTGACTGGACAACGAGCGCACTGCGACTGCGCATTCCCGCAATCTTTTCGCGGGCCAATCGCGAGAAATATCCGGACCAAAATACTTAAACGAGTTAAACACGGAATTCACCACAAAATAAGATAAATAATCTATTTTGCGTTTTTATCTACATTTCATGTTACATTCGATGTTAGTTAACACTAACATCCGCTATCGATATATCTTCGATGATCAGATCGGCAGTTCAGTTTTTTCCTTTAAAATGTGACTGATTGACAGCCGTGGACTCCTATGCGTTTTTTTTATCGGATTTTAATGATGACAAAACCTATAGTATTCCAAGTTCCAAAAAAAAAAAAAAAATCATTTTTATGTGAATAGGTACCTCATAGACCCATCTGTTTTTTATGATTGTTTTATTGGATTATTGTCAATATATATTTTTAATACATGGAAGAAATATGTACCATTTAGTTTCTGCAGTAAAGACATTACCGTATCTATTATTATTTTTTATAGACAGTTGATTAATTTTTTCCAAAATAAATAGCACTATCTATAACAGGTATAATCTAGTTTCTTATAAGCTACAATCTTTAAATATTTAATTAGTGGTGGACTGTGTCAGCACTCAGCTAGATATTATATGGCCGCGGCTGATAGTTGGCTGTTCATAAACCTGCATAATAATAAAATTAGACTAATTAAAGAATTTATATTTCAAGCTTTATTATTGAAGTTGAAGACATTATTGACATTGTTAAAAACAAAAGTGATTTATTAATTAAAAAACTACAAAAAAAGCTATCTACTTTTTTTTTTAATTTCTTAATATATTCAATTTTATATTATAGAAAAAAATAATTATACGATTTTGTACATTCCCCGGCTCGATTTATTTCACAAAAACACAATAATAATTGCAATTAAAAAATTCATTAAAATAAAATATTACCAAATGAAATTTATTCATGTAAAAAAGATTAGAACTTATAATAGGTATCTCTAACCTATGTCAAATATATCGAAAAACTTTTAGAAAATTGTTTGTTGACTATCTTATTTAAAATTATTTTAATCAAATGCCAATTTTGTTGATAAAAAAAATATATATATTACCATTGATTATAGAATAGACTATAATCTATTCTATAATCTATTCTATAATCAATGATATTACCCATGGCCTGTGATCTGTGTGATACTAAATGAAAAAAAAATGAATTTTTATAAATAACTTTTTTTAGAATTATTCAGCTCACATTAAAATTCTACATTTAATGTTGTCATTTATAATTATTTATCTATAAAATAATCAATAAATGTACTTTGTACTTTTTTTATTCTTTTGATACTGTTTACCTTTTGTACAGCGCTGTTAGGTATTTTTAATTGTAAATATTAACTTAATTTGTATAAATATTGTCTTAAAATGTTAACTCTCTACTCCATCACTATCTCGAATTTACAGAAGTAGTTTATTTATTTTTACATATACCTGTGTATTAATTCTGTAACATTAAAGAGTTATGTAAAATATGTATAAGTATAAGTTATCAATAATAATAATAAAAATCTATTTTTATTAAATGTAAAATATGAGTTTTTTGTTTAATTATCACTTATCTTTTATTTAGAAGATATATGTTTTATAAAACTTCAAAATAATCACGCATTTATATCATAAAACAATCTCTAAAAATATTTAGAACGAAACATATCAGAGGGGTTGGTAAAATAATTTATATTTATATTTCTTTAATCTCTGGGCCGAATTTTTTCACAGTCCACCGTCACTGAATATTATGGGTTGAAATTGGTTTTCTAGTTGACTTTATATGCTTGAAATGCTATAATATTCTGATATACATTATAAAATTACATAATCATTTGTTTAAACACGGGTCGTGGATATTCAAATAAATACATAAGAAGTCTAATCTAACTTGTTTCTATAATCTAAAATCTTAATCGTTTTATTATTAAATTAACTGTAAAATACTATATTTTTAATAATTTGAATTAGGTAATGTACAATCTTTAATCGATGAAAATTATTCATACAGTAAAAAAGTATTTAATTTTCGTGATTTAAAATTAAATTTATGTGTAAGTATGAGTCACTCTATTTAGTAGCATATATAAGTAAAAAAAATTAGCTAAAAACATCCTCGGAGTCTTAAAAAATCTATATATTCATATAACTTTTATTGAAATCGGTCGAGTTTTTTGATATTAGCTAAAACAAAAATATGAAATAAAAGAACAATGGATGAATGGTAAGCTTAAATATAAAAACAAAAGTGAAATTCAACATTTTAAATATGTTAATTTGAAAATGACAAGTCACGTTTCAAAAAAAAAAAAAAAAAAATGTTAGAAAAGTATATTGAAATACAATTTTGGAATAATATAATAAAATAGCTTTTAATTTTAATAAAATGTGGGTATAATTAATAAGTCTATTGGTAAAATTATAATTTTTTCATATGACCTGTAATATAATATAATGGAAAAAATATCTGGTCCCAACCATTCCCATGCTAGAGTATTATAAATATAAATTATTTTTTCTGGTGAATAATGAGTAAATTTAGATATTCTAACCATGGTAACAAAATGTTGAAATATTGATTTTTAAATCAAAATAAAAAAATCTTATTTTTTTTATAATATTGTTGTGTATGGTGGGAAATGTCTATAAATATGTTTAAGAAGAAACCAACCATAAAAAGTTCTTCTGAATCGTCGTACACAAGTGATGAGGTATCGGGCGATTATGTAACAGAAAAGTCTCGAGATGTGATCGTCCAAGACACTGAATCATTGTGGGATTGTAGAGACCGAATGTTTTTGAGTGTGCGAAAGATAAAGACCAAAGATCAGGTCGAGAAAGAGGTCGATAAAGATAAAATTAATATGCAACTTGAAGAAGCACTTATAACCGTCGAGGGTATGTAATATTCTTAAGTTCTTGTGTAAATGCTTAATGCTTTTATAATATATTTACTTTTGAAAATATTGTTTTATGAATGAAATTACTAGTTTCACTAAGTACCATACCTATAAATAACAAAAGTTTAAATTATAATATACAATATCATCCATAGGTTGATTATGATTTATGATATAACAATATCATGTCATATTATTATAAGTATTTAACATAATTTTTTTTTTAAATGTTGAATATTTTCACAAGTATAATTAATCTAAGATTTGAAGTGTGAATATTATCGAGTATTGATGTATTTTTGATTTTCTAAGACAGTAAGACACAACTTTTATACACGACAGAACTTCGAAATGTAGCAATATTTTCAAAAATACATAATAACTGTATTTTTATTGAGATTTTTGAGTAAGTTTACCATACATTTTAAAAGCTAGTATGTTTGTTTAAAAAAAGCCGTTAAAAGAATAATTTTGTCTTCCGATGGAAGTTAACAATGTCAAAGCTGTTTACTGATTAGAATATATTGTAGACTATTCAACTAAGAGCAGTCCTAATCAGTAGTATTTTATTAATTACGCATATTACGTATAGTACATAGTTATTGTAGAATTTCAGACTGACATCACAACAGAGAACTTAAAGGTTAATGTTTCGAGTCAGACAAACAATCAGCCAATAGTGATTACGTTTAAGTCGACAGCCGATAGGAGCCAACAAACTAGCACCGAAAGCTGCATAAAGCGCGTTACTAAAAAGGCAATACTTCCGGTATGTATGATTTATTGATTTAAGCATAAGATTTTGACTTAGCTGGTACATGTAATACGTATCTACACATTAATACATCATAATAGCTAATAATAGTTTAAATATATGCACGAAAAAAATTATTTTTAATATCTACCTAATCCGCTTATTTTTTATTTAAAACTCAAAATTATAATTTTAATGTAAAATTTAAATCTTGTATTAATTTATTATAATGATTTATGTACAATATCGTTGGTTGACCATGATCAGCCTGTGATTACACCACAGAGTAATGAATGGGATAAAAGTCGTATTTCAATGGAAGAATATAGCAATTCTATAGTGCACAAGCCGTGTAAACAGCAAACGAGTAAATTTCCAAAATACGCCATAAATAGGATTCTCTCACCGGTAAGCAAATTGGTATACATAATATACGCGTGGTCTTTAAATTTCATTGCACAGCGGTGAGAAAGAATTCACTTTATGGCACAGCTCATGACATAGACTTTATTATATAGTATATACCTATATCGATGACTCGCATAATATATTTGTATTCTATTGTACATAAAAATATAATATGAAAACAAGTGATTATATATCATTATTGTCTTTTGATTTATTTTATACTATTTACCAGTGTACGGTATACTTTTGAGAAATTGAAACTTATTTTGTCGAAAGTATCTGCATCCTTGGTCGGGATTACAGCTAGTCGCTAATTTAAATTGTCTAATTAAAACTCTTATGCAAATCAGTTTTTTTTATGTTGGTACTTATGATAATTTGATGCTCTGAACTATGTCTGGTGTTTTTTGTACCAGTTAAAAAGCGAAAAATTGAGTTCTGTGAATAAGATTTGAGAGTATCTAGTTACTTAACTACAGGTGTAAATCGGACCTAGGTGGGCAATTCATTCGTGGCGTATTGAATTCGACGTCCAGAGTTTGAATGCTATTCGCTTCGGATGTAATTTGCTCGTGTTTAAGTCTATCAGTAATTGACTTGGTTGTGAAACTATGGTTCCCATTGAAAATCTAATATTTATATATTAATAAAAAATTCGGAAGCCGGAGTCTAGGTTTCTAGTCATTAGCCATCATTAGTATGTATCCCATGTGGAATATGGAACTTGTGTACTTAAAATTAAGTGTACATTGTGTACTGATATAGAGCCCTTTAATTTTCGGAGCAAGTGCAAGTGTACGTGCGACCACTATAATTGTGTAAATCTGTGTATATAAATTGTATCATAGTTTTACATAATATAAATAAATAAATAATAATTCATTAGTGTTGTGTCTCGAAATAATTTTGGTAATACATCACAAGTAATACATAGTAATTAGTAATACATAAATGTGATCAATGTGGGTAGATACTAGATACTACATAATTAAGTAAATTAATTATATTATTTACTTCATTTTTTTTTTTTTTATATTATTTAAATGTTAATCATCATACCATATATTTCTTTTAAAATATTTTATATTTGTTTTATTATTTAAAGATGATTGATTTAAAATGGTATTCAAATATTTTATATTAAACGTAATATTTGTTTGTTTTATTTGGTATGTATTATAGAGATAGCAGGGCTACAGCACATTTGAGTATTTTACCTTAAAATGTGACACATTAGAGTATAAAATCTTATTACATTTGAGCACTATTAACTATATTATATAAGCTACGCGTCTATAACAGATATATAATCCAAGTCTGTGATGATTAACTTAAAATGTGATCTGGAAGAAATTTAAAAATGAAATGAACTTAAATACATGGTATAGCTTTTAAGAATACATGGGTAATTAATAACTGTTGATTTTTTGTTTTTTATATGAAATAAGAAATACCTAGGAAAATATTATTTTCAAGTTGCTTAGATATTATTGTATAAATTTCCATCAATGGTCACGACAAGTCAAAACTAACCTTACGAATTAAAAATAAAACATTATCAAATATCAATTATTTTTTTATCATTAAATAACTACCGTTTGTTTTCATTCGTAGATGATCTCTGTTTAACATGATTTTGAAAAAAAAAAACTAGGAACGACTTCCAACATGCGTAGTTAGGTGACTTTTTTAAGTAGGTACTTTTGGCCCACCATTTTTTTCACATTAAATGCCTATAAGATAAAATGGCTAATAAACTACACGAACAGTCTTATTGCAGTAACTGCATGTGTCATAGTTGTTCGTGTTACGAGAACATGATGCCCATACATAAAATCGGGTACGCCGTAATGGTGCTTGCTAATCAGGTGCTAAAAACACGTCTATGGTTAGAAGGATGCCTGCAATACACCGACAATCAAGCTGTCACGCAAAGATCCGAAATCCATTTTAGGTGAAAAAAATATTTTGCATAATAAAAATATATTTTAACTTAAATATATTGCTGTAATTATAAATATACTTAATTCAATATGTTTCTGGTATTATATAATTAATTATATATATGTATTATGTTTAAATGTATTTATTTTCTTTGTTGGATATTAATAAATTCAATATGATAAAATTTTACTTTAAGGAAATAGCTAACGGCTAATTATCTATTTTAGTTAGTTCATTTCTCATATAGGTAATTAATGTGTTATCTTTGTAAATGTTTATTTATATTTGTTTACTTTGCTATGCTACAGTTCTAATCTCGACCTTAAATAATATTTGATTTGGTGAAAATGTAGGTTCTAGTCTTGTCAGTTGTAGACATTCTCCGTATTGCTTTTAAAAAAAATATATTATTTTTGTTTAATGATATAATTCAATTTATTAGTGATTGTGTCAGATTACAGGCATATTTAATTCTGTTGGTTGTTAGTTGGGTTAAATGCCTGATTTTTAACTTATTGTATTTAAAGGAGCTAACAAAATTATTCTCCTCTGAAAAATGAATATTCGTGAATACGTCACTGTAACAATCGAGAACTTATTACACTTTAGACTGAGCTCCGTCGCTGCCGAGACGAAGTATCTGGCCCGTGAGCTGACATTTTTAGGGATTGACATGAACCACTCCACCGGTACGGTGGATCAGGTCGAAATTCTCATTGATATCTATGACAAGTGTTTCCGACGTTTCAAAAAGATCATGAAGTCCGTGCGTTGGATCGAAATGTCTTGGAGCAAAGGGAATGATGATAATAAAGACTATGGTAGCCTTTCAATGACGGATCAAAATTAAGATGTGCAAATATAATATTGCAACATAATAAAAAGAAAATTAGTCTAAAAAGTTTTAATTATTTTTTACTATAGTACCTATAAGAATAAAACGAAAAACATAAAATATTTTAACTGTAGGTACTTTGAAATTGACTAGCTAACCTATTATACATTTATAGCATTAATCCTTCTAAGTTAAATACATATTTGTTCTTATCTTCTCTTAATACATTATTATTTATTTTAAGAATATGTAATAATGTGTATATTATTTTCCTTATGTTTGAATACTAATATTATATAGAACAACATTATACCAACACAAATTATGTTATAGATGTGCACAAAATTGCTAGTATTCATTGGCGACAATACAAATTTGCTATGTTGCGTGTGGGTAAGAGAAAAAATAATAGCACATTTAATAAAGATTTTATTTTACTAACATTTGATAAATTTATCTCTTCTGTAACTGTAAGTGTTATATAAATGCTAATGAGTAATGATATAGATAATTCCAAACTAATTGTGGCCCCTATTTTCTGTCAACTTAAAAATGATTAATTTATAATTTACGTGGTTTTGGTAAAAATAAAAGCTAAAAAAAGTTTGTATAAATAAATCACATGCATATGTGCATAAGAATAATGTATTACTATATTTTTGTTTCTGTAAATGAATTTATAATCACAGTTACTTATTTGTACTATCAAATTATCAATGGAAACTTCAAGTAATCGGTAGCGAGGGCTGCCTCGATAATTGTATAGTAAAGTAGGTAAATAAAAAATGAGTACAAATACATATTTTTTATTATTGTTACGAGTTGTGTGTGACACGTGATATTTTGAAAGTTGGTACTTGCAACCCAATTAGTAATTTAATTTTATTTACATTTTTTAATATTAATATTTGAAACATTTTATTAATTTAAAAAAAAATGTAGACTATACGTCTGTACTCAGAAACTTAAAAATAAGATTATCAGGTGAAGCAAAAAGAGTCTTAAAAATACAAATAAATTTATCGATATTATAAAAATAATAATAATAATTTTATTTCACCGTGTAAAATAAATAATAATAAATGAACAAATATAGACACATAGGTATACGAGTGTATACCGTTATTTAGTAGAATTAAATATTTAATTCTTCATATTAATGAAGACGCTGGAAAATGGTTGGACATACCTTAAGACACCCAGAAAAATTGCATAATATAATATTAGAAGGTATGATAGAAGGAAAGAAAACTGTAGGACGTCCCCAGAACTCTTGTACAGGACAAATTAAATTTGATACGAAAGCAAAACCTTTTAAGAACTTAAAGAAAAGGTGATTAATCAGTTAGAATGGAAAATTGGAGTTGTAAATCAACCTTCGGGTTGAAAAAAAAAATAATGTAAAAACAATATTATTTTATAGATATATCTTAAATTCTTAAGGCATTAAACATTAGGGAGATATATCTCTCCCACAGATCTCCTTATTTTTTGCTTATATTTGTAAGGTTTTAGTTGTGATTTTTCCATTTTATCACTTCATCAGTAGGAAATACCAAATATACCTACTACCTACAATATGATACGTAGGTAATGTACATCAATCATACGAGTAAGTATTATATTCTCGAGCATATCATAATATATAGGAATAAATGCGACGTGTACAATAAACTAAACAGTAGATTCATTAATCAGATAAGTTGCAGTTACGTATTACATTAATCTATAAGATTTTGGTGTAGGAGATACATAATGTGGACGCGGACGTCATACGATAATAGGACCATCGCAAGTACGCACAAGAAACAGCGGGGTCATGGCGATGCGCATCTCTCGACCAAAAAAGATATGACCAAGAATATTGGAGAAAAGGCCTAAATAAAACTTTTTCAGACGTGATTTACAAAAGGTAGAGCGGAGCATCTTTACGCCAGTCTGTTAGAATTTGGTCATTTGGGTTTGAAATAATTTTCAGTTATTTAAAAACACTCTAAGAAATATTTTCAAAATAAAAAAAAAAACGCTCGGAAGAATTTTTACGACTCATTTATTTTATCGCAACTACCGCACACCTCAATACACGGTTGCTTATACGTGGCGCGCTACAGAGTATATTCGAGTGTAAAAACTAAAATGCTTTTATGATTTTCCGGGCTACTTTTCCGATTTATTTTCCGTAAAAACCTTTCGAGGGCTATTCTAAATAATATGTAGGTACCTAATTATATAAACCAAATCACATCAGTCAAATCGGTCAAGTCGTTCTCGATTGAGGCGATTCACAAAATCCTAACCGAACGAACGGCATATTATTTTCATTATTACTTTTTCGTGTAATGATAAGACGCATTACGTTTCATTATTTACGGTGCTTATCACCTCGACTTATCTGCCGCGCGCTTGTCGATTTTTCACGTTTCGCCGCAATCGACTGTAACATCGATACTCGTCCACGCGTTATCCGCCGACCGGCAAGTATCGCATCGCGCGCCGTCGCCAAAAATTTAGTATTAGAACGAGCCGGTGCGCCGCCGCCAAAAATTTAGTATGAAAACCAGCCGGTGCGCCGCCGCCAAAAATTTAGTATTAGAACGAGCCGGTGCGCCGCCGCCAAAAATTTAGTATTAGAACGAGCCGGTGCGCCGCCGCCAAAAATTTAGTATGAGAACGAGCCGGAGCGCGCGCGCAAAACTCTTATCGATCGCGTTTTGCCACCGATTGTCACTGTCCACCACCGTTCAACAGTGTGTATCGTTCGGGCCCGGGTGCCCGCGACGCCGCCGTTAGTCGTCTCAAGACTCGCGCTCCGTACGGTCGTCGTCGTCCTCATCGTCGTCGTCGTCCCGTCGTCATAGTACGATTCTCGTGTGACTCCAGTCGTCTGTCGTCTCTGCGATTTTATCGTTCCAGCCGCCGTACATACGCTCACCGTCGTCTGTCTCGTCCACCGCACAGGCGAAAACCGTCGGCCGGGCCTAGGGCCGCGCCATGTACTTCGCCCTGGCCGAAACTCCGGGCGGCCGTCCGACGACGGTCACCACGGCCGCGATCTCCACTATAGAAAGCGCTCGGACTCCGCCGTCCAGCGCCTTCGCCTTCTTGCCGCACGCCGACCGTCCACGTCCGGGGCTGCGGCCGCACTCCACCGCAGCCGTCGTCGGGCCTGACGCCGACGGCCGCAGCCCGGCCTCGAGCACGACGCCGACGGACCGCGGTGCACGCTCGAGGACTACGACATGTCGTCGTCGGAAGACGAATACTCAAAGTCCGGGTCCACGTTCAGCGTGGCCGTGGGCCATTACGTTTTCCAGAGGAACTTGATCGTGAGTAGTATATGCCCGCGTCGCGCGCGTCAAACGAGGCGGTGGCAAAACGGGCGGTGGGTCGTGTGGGTCGTAGCTTTCTCGCCGTTTCTCCGTTCTTCCCCGTCCGTCCTCTCCGTCACAGTACTAGCCCGCAATCGCACCCGCACCCAGGCTACACGATGTGTTATGCTTAATGCTTATGAGTAGCGTTGCCCCCGTTTTATGTTGCCCACCTCCCTCTCATACTGCGATTTTCTCTGTTTGAAATCGTCGGGTCGGTGGGTGTTTAGAACGCGGTCGAACCGTAGCCCATAATAGAGGTACCCAGTACAATATGCTGGTAGACACCGCTTACCTAAGCTAAATCATAATATCTGACTTTAAATCAATTCGATCGAAAGGGTGGTACAGTTGACTGTGTAACACGACTCCGTCGATGGCAGACTTCCGTCTATATTCTTCCCGCCGAACGAACAACGTCAATTGATCAATTAACTCTTTTTTGCTGCTAGCGGCCGAGTGCGATCGTTTTCGATTAAAAATATGTTTACACGTTTTCACTTATTGGTTATATTTGTTCGAATAAATACTTGCACACTTTTTGTTTTCTCTATTAATCTAGTATGAAATTTTTTTATTCAATAACCGGTACAGTACAAGTTGCCAATTGATGCCGTTTAGATTAAATTATATTTATAGGTATAGGAACCAAACCTGAATTCAAATTGATCATTTATATAATATCGGTACCTATGATTTAACAAATCTTATTGGAAGTGAATGGTTTTTATTTGTATAAATGCTTATTGTTTTTTTTCATCATTAATGTAATAAGAATTATTTTTTCAGGAAGATTCATTTATTTCGGCCCAAGAGAGCAAAGCTGTTATTGAATACGTGAATTTGAAGTTTGTTGAAAACAACTTTAGGTCATTGGGGCTCGATCAAATATTTGATAAGAATAATATAATGCAAGCTGAACAAGAATTTAAATCGTAAGTGAAGCATTATATTAATATCACAGTAAATAAACAAATGTATTAATTAAATATTTTTTTAGGTTTGAAATATGGTTCTCTCGCGTGAGGGAGTATGCTGTTGATAGAGAATTTATCAGAGATCTTCGTCTACCATTGTTCTGTCATCTTTATTTGAATCTTTATGCTCCACGGAATCATACACGCTTACAGGCATTTTTGAAAACGTTTGAATATTTATTTACAAGCCCTAGAGGAGTTATTTATCTGCAGGAGTTGAAAAATGTTACAAATGTATTAGATCTATCGCCTCGACTTGCATATTTCAGGTAATTGGTTTGTTGTATATTATAATCATTTAATTATTTTCATTAATATAATATTAAATTTATTATTTCAGGCGAAATAAATTTGTTTATGGTGTTTCTCCTATATTCATCAGCAATCTTTATGATTTTTTTTATCCTCACTTCATGCTCAAAGTGGTTTGTATATTCTTATGCAATAAAAATATGTTAATCATTATGAAGACATGGTAAAAAGTTCAGTTGTGTTGTAGAAAAATATATATTGTAATAAGAAAACATTTGTTAATCATGCATCCATATTTATTGTCTTTCAAGTAAATTAACATACCAAATTAATTTTCGATTGAACCTATTTAATTTTATTATTTAAGTGAATTTTCCATTAAACGATTAACAAGTGTTAAGATAAAAACATTTACATTGACTTGTTAGTTTAAATTTTAAAGCTGAACTGTAATAATATGTATTAAATTTTTTTAAAAAAGCTTATAATTACTTTAAAATAAAAATGTTCTGAAATTTTATAAAAACATAGATTATATTTTTACCATTAAGTTTGATGATAATTTAAATAATTTAATTCATTTTAACATTGTAATTATCAAAACTAACAGGTGGTTTTAACACACATTTACTATGTTATAAATTTATTAGATAAGGACAATCAATACAGATTTAGTTTCAATTTAAACAAGTTGTGCTTATAACTAAATAAACTATAACATATGATTATTAAAATTACAAATTAAATTATAGAACAGGTTGAATTATTTTTTTTATATCCAACTTTGGAATAAATTGATAAATCTTAAAATTTAATTATGAATTGTAATATTGTAAAATTATTTATAAAGAGAAGAAACCTTAATACATTACTTATTTATTAATGCCAAAATAATTGTTTTTGTTACCATGTCTTCCAAAGTTAACTAATACTTGAATTATATGTACATATTTATTAAGTTTAGTTGCGATAGAATAATATATCTAAATTTACCCACCACACAAATATGGTTATAATATAATTTATTAAATAAATTGTGTTGTCAATAAGCAAACCACTTATTTGATTATATGTCTGGTGTGGCAAATGTGTAAAATCAATATAAATATCAAAATAAATAAATATGTATTAATTCTGCTTTATTCAATAAGTTTATTATTCAGTAGTATTAATTAACACAAATTTTTTTTGTACATTTTATGTTAAATGGAATGATGAATCACATGCATTTTTTTTCAAATGGGTTGATGTTTCCATTACATCTTTTTAAATTTTAAATGTTTGCATACTTATGCGTTTATATTACTTTCAATATCAGTGATAAATATCAACAATGACAACTAATAATAATTGATATTGAATATTTTCCGAAATAAATATTTATAATGCAGAATTAGGTATAGCTAAAATTAAAATTGGCCAACTTTAAAAAATGTTATCAATTTATTTATTAAATTATAATTTTGTATTTTATTTATTACTACAAGAAAAAATTTTATTGCATATTGAATTATTTATGATTGCAAAATAAATATTGTTTCTGATTATAAATATTGCTCTTTTAATATTAACATTGTATTAAAGAGTGTACAAAAGTCAAGTTTTCTACTTATTTGTAATATCATAGATTACATACTATTTTATAATTGAATAGCTAATTATTTTATTAAAATATATATTAATTTATTAATTAAAGGTGTTTCAAGAATGGTTTGACATCAACTATACTGCTTATGAAGATCCAAGAATAATATTTGATGATTATTATGCAAATAACCTAGTACGAGTAAATAATTTAGATAAAGCAAATACTCCAAAACAAAACAATAATGTTTTTGCCACAAAACCTGTGTTATGTAAAAAAGTAAGTATTGTTTATAAAGAATATAAAAGGGTAATATTAGCAATTTATTTTAGTTTGTAATTTTGTATGAAGGGCTTATAAAAACTATATACTCTCAATTTAAACTGAAAAGTATTTATTTTAATTTGATTTTATTAATTTTTTTTAGACATTGAATTCATCTCAAAATAAGAACAACAATCGCAAACTCAATAATTTTGAAAATGATGTAAGTATACTTTGTATAATTTTCCATACATTTTTGTACTATGAATAAGCTGTAAATTATTCAAAACATATGTTTTTGATTATATTCTATGCAATGTTGGGAAAAATTGATAAATTTTTGATTAAATTACGTAATAGATTACGATTAAATTGTTAAACTATATTAGTTATTACTTATTGATCGTTTAATCATTTTTCAAAATAATCAGTAATCATGATTACATTTTTGTAATCGTCAATCATTATCGCAAAATTTATCGCATAACTACAATTACTGGTCAATAAATTGTACTTATATTTTTATCTGATAATTTTCAAAGGTTTCTTTATCTGAATTTATCTATGAACGTACAGTAAAATATCGCTTGTATTTAGTTGGTTTGGAACATAACTGGTTTTATTTCGTTGTTTTTCGTCCTAATAATTTATTAAAAACTACAATGAGTGATAGCGAAATTACTATGAATATATTATCATTATTTTTTATTAACATCATTGAATTATTACAATGATGATATTGCTAAATAATATATACTAATTATTATACCTAAATAAATTAAATTTATTATTTGAATTACAATGTTATTATCATCATATTATTTATTACATTTACAATAATTTTGTTATAAAAAAATATTTTGTTTCTAAAATGCGTAGTTTTTTTTTATTATATTATTAATTTTATCATGTGTCAAATGTATTACTGTAAAATTAATATTATAATTCATTTTTATTCTTAAATTAGATATAAAATAAAGTAGTTATAGAAAAAATAATAAAGATTAATCATGATTACACATTAATACATTTTGTAATCGTAATCAATACTATGATTAAATTATTACTTTAATCATTTGAAATTATTTTTAATTGTGATTAATGATAACATTAATTTTTATAGGATTAACGATTATAAAATTAAATTTTAATCATTAATCATTAATCAGATTACAATTTGCCCAACACTAATTCTATGCAACAATAGCAAATTAAACCTTATATACCATGACTAATTTTGTTTATTCCACGGATCAAGTTTATTATACTAAGACATGTAAAAAATGTGCATATATTTTTGTTATTACTTTTTTTTTTATTTTTTTTTCCAGATTATAATTTTAAAATTTATTTTTTATTAATGTCAAAATTATTTTTTGGAAGAAAACTAAAAAAATGTATCAGTAATTTTTTAACATTTTATTGAAGTATAATATGGAATTTCTGATCTAAAAAAAAAAAAAAACAATTGTAGCAATTGCTTACAATTGTTTATAATGTGCATGTGTCTAATAGTCTTATGCCACATTAAGTTATTTAAATATGTATATAATGATATATATAATGGTGAATGAAGTATGCAATCACCAAACTAAGCAATATATTACAGAGGGTGAATTATCTTGAATATTAAAGCATTTTAATAATTATTGTCACCCAGCAGTTATTAATTGTCAACAATTTAAACAAATTAATAATTATTTTTATAACTTTATTTCAACTTTATACCTAGATATTTATCAAAAATGCAAATTATTGCGAATTAATTTTTAATTTTTATCTATTATATAACTTAATATACTTAAATTAAACTATTTTCCTGATAAAGGCAACTTGTTAATCTTTTTTTTTTGTTATTATTAATTTACCATAATTTATGATATAATAATACACATTTTTTAACATTATTATTTTGATTCAATTAATTACTCTTGAACTTTTACTAACATGATATTTTTAAATATAATTCAATAATAAAGTTAACATTTTATGTTCTTATTCACTATATCATTAATATTATTATTTATTTTTTTTTAATCAACAAATTAATATTTTATTTTTAAAAATTACTATATTATTGTTTGTATTCTATTAGTTAATTTTTCATTTATCATTCATTAAAATTAACTATTTATGCATACTATGTATAATAGTATTCTTAATATTAGAAATGTTTGAATTTGACTTAAATGGTTTAGTTGTTGACAATTTGTAAGAAGCTTTAATTCTAAAGATAAATAATGATTCTATTGCTTAAATAAAAATTATATATATACAATATTTTTTACTCTTACAAATCATTTTTAAATTATTATTTAAAATGAGCTTTATTTATAATTTTAAAGTTGTCAAATTAATAAATAATCTTAAAAGTTTATTTACTTTTTTTTTAGATTTTTTTTTTATGTATAAATCTCGTTTCATAAAATTATATGTTTTCAATGAAATAGAAATTAGCATGTATTTATGAATAATAATCTGATAATCTAATAATATCTTGATAAAAAATGTACATCTTTAAACATATTTTTTGGGATACAATTCTATTTTCAATATAATTTTAAATACTCAGTTGATGATTTCATGGATTAAAATGTTATTTTTCAAATTGGCTGTTTGAAGACATAAATCATAAATTAACCTTGATATATATTAGGTCAATTTTTATCATAAAGAACAATATATTTATAAAAAAATGATATTACATACAAATATTTAAATAATTTATTAAAACCTTATTTTGATCTTGCAATGATGAAAAATTAATAAAGTTTTTTTAAATCAATAAGCTATGAAAAACATTTCTTGAATATTTATCATTCTATTTTTACTTTAACTTAATTTTATTGATAAAAAAAAAAAAAAATATATTTTTGCTAATTCATATTAAACTAATAGCTTGTTATCAGTATTGTTTAGGTATGTAATAAATTAAACTTATTATTTTTTTTCATCATATTTGTTTTGAATGGTTTAAATCAATAAAGTAATACTGTTTTGAAAATTGAATGAAAATAAATAATCAATATTTATTTAAAATGTAATCTTTTAATTATAAATTACTTCCCCTGTCACTTAATATTATTTTTATGATTAATATTTATTTTATTTTATTTCATTTTTGTTAACGATTAAAAATCAAGTTTTACAATAATCAACGCCCTTCTACAAGTAAAGACTTTGTTGGACATCAAAACTCTAGCTCCAGTCATCAAGAATCCAATTCCAGAAAAGTAATTTCATTACCTCAAAGTCTTAATTATGTATACGTCAAAACTATAGTAAAATTTTTGTATTTTATTTTAAATACTTAATACATTTAGTGTGCTAACAATGATGTTGAAGATCTACAAAAAAATTCTACAAATTCAGAACTAGATGAAGTAATTATTTATTTAAAAATTATGTATTTTCAAATACTGATGTAGAATTTATTGGTTATTTGTGAACAGTCAACTGGAAATTCTGAAGAGACTTTATCAGAGGATCATAGCTTAGAATCAAGATCTAGGCGATCAAAGAAGGTATGCTTTAATATTATTTTTATACATTTTAATACCATATTTTGTGAATTTTATTTCTTTTATTTAAAAATATTAATTTTTTATACTTTCAATTTTTTTTTTTGAGTTTTTGATAATACAAATTGCATTTAAAATTAAAATCACATATAATGTATTTAGTATAATATATTTTTTCGAAACAATATAATTTATACTGAATCACAATTAATAAATTTCTTTGAAAAAGTTTATGGCAGAAATATAATGGTATAATAAAAATAACAATTCTAAATCCATAATTTATAAAAAATTTAACAATATACAATTTATATTTTTAACGATTATCTAATTTTTATAGTAGATTCTTTAATTTTATTATACATCTTAGTAAATATGAGTGAGTATTTCATTTAAACTTCTGACTTTTGAAAAGCAAAACTGCACTTTTTAGACTTTATATTTTGCTAAACAATTAAAAAAAATGATTTATTTTTAAATATTTCATAAAAATCCCTATTTTTCTTTAATATATTTGTTTATTTTACTCCCTTTTCTCCATCCATATTAAATAAAAAATTCTTCTTTATTTACCTTGAATTGGGCTTCTAAATTATATTTGAATTATTATATTTTTGTATAAAAGATAGATAAGTGTATTAGGATGGTTTAGGAAATGTTATCAATATTTTTAATTAATAATCAGGTTACCTTTTTAAAAATAATTCATTATATAATTTGTATTAAAAATATTTTGAAAACCTACTTTATAATAAATTATACAAAATAATGAAATTGTATTGTTGTTAGCTTTATGTATTATGATATAGCTTTCATTTTTAATTTGAGTTTTATTTTATTACATTTTTAACAATAATATCTATTAATTATTATTATTATTTTTTAAACATAATTGGTTTTAAATTAAGTTATAAAATAATAATTTATTTATTATTTTGAATTTTAATAAGAAATATTTCAAAAGAAAAGATATGAGACGTAACAAAGACCATCCTTCGTCATCTGGACAAAAATCAAGAAAACATAAGGTAAATGATATAATAATGAACATATAGTTCATACCTAAAAATTGTTTACAAATATTTCATACAATTTTTTTTAAATTAAAAATGAATAGAAATCTAGCGGAGAAAAATATGATGATACCAGTTTACTAAATAAATCCACTAGTCATCAAGAAAATTCAAAATTGTCCGAAGAAGTAAATCAAAATTATAAATTATTTTTTATTTTTAATTATTAAATTCCTATAAAATGTATTAAATTAATTATTAAAATTTTGAATAAAAAGTCACTCGGAGAAGGACAAAACTCATCAAATCAGAAAGAAGGTGAAGAAGAAAGAATAATATTACGGATTTCAAGAAAGTCTAACAAATTAAGCGTTGTAATTATAATTTATATTTTAATTATCATTTAATTTTAAATTAATATTTAAAATCTTTTAAAAATATAACTTTGTACAAGTATTGTTTATTCATTGCCTATTTTAAATTATAACACAGTTGTCATGATTAGCTGATTTTTTTGTTCTATCTAATTATATTGGCTTAAAAATTGAATTTATATGCTATGAAATATGATATATAATGAATAATTAATTTAGTCATTAAGTCTTGAGTTTTAACCATTTATATTTTATAAACATTATTCAGGATTTAAAATTGTTTACTTTAATGATTTTATTTTCAATGTCACTAGAACATTTATTTAAAAAAATTAATATTTACAGAATGTTACAGTAACATTAAGTTGTGGAAATTATGTAATTATGTTAAATCATTTAAAACTTATTTGTTTGTTAAAAGGAATTTTGATTAGGACTATATTTTTTTTCGAAATGTAGAATTTACCCATTATTAGCTGCTCAATGCATTTTAATAATAATATGCTAATTTAAAAAATGTTATCGGTAGAAGAAACTCTGAAAAATATTCGACATGATATTAATAGATAAAAAAAATCTCACTAACACATATATCATGTATCTCAAGTTTAAAATAACAATTTAAAATCATTAAAAAAAAAAAAGAAATATTCAATTAATCAATTCAATCATGGCAACTAAGTTAAACTATAATAAACCAGTTTTACATATATTATAATTTTAATATAGCAATGTATTATCCCCAATGTTGTATGCAGTATTATGTTTTAATATACATGCTTTTATCTTATTTCAAAAAGATTGTCAGTAATGAGAAGAAAGAACCTAATGATTCCAAAAATCCTATGTTGGAGAAATCAAGCGAAGAACAAGTAATTTTATACTTATTTATATGTATCACATAAATATTCACCTTTAATCCAAACTATGTAACATAATTAACTATAATAATTTACTTAATAGTTAACTATTTATTACTCTGTATTATTTTAAATGTAGAATTTTTAATTCTTGGAAGATTTAAACTGTCTTGTCAGTGAAAAATGAGAACCTATGTATAATAGACAAGTATTAACATTTAATTAGATATGATTACATGTCGATTTTTGGTATAGTTAGAAATGTGTAGGTTTTAATTTTTGCATTCAATAATAAGTATTTTTATTTATTTTGTTCAATTTTGACAATCATTCTAACAATTCTCTTTTATTATGAAATTCAAAAAAAAAAAAAATTAGGTAGGCAAATGGGTACCACTCTGCTGTACATTAGGCGTTGAGTGGAACTAGTTATCAAGTAAATTATTATAATGGATTTTGTTAAATTTAAACTCAATGATAACCTATTATATACAATAAAAAATGATTCTGAGTGAAAACTGTCTACATTTTGGTAATTGTGGTCACATAACAATTATTTTATAATAATATTAGATTTTTTGTAAAAATTCAGTTTTTTCTTAATTTTTGTTTGTTTTTCTCAATTAACAAAAAGCATTAGAATTTTTAATTTTGACCTCTCCTGAGTTCAAACTATATCTAATTTGCCAACTTAAACTTCCTAAAAGTGAAAATTGAAGCATTTTATTGACTACTTTCACAGATACAAAAAAAAAGCACACATAATTGTAAAATTTATACATTTATCCCTCTGTTCAGTATTTATAACTTTATTCATAATCTAGATATTATTTTTGATATTCAGTTTTTTTTATTTAAATTAAATGATTATTTCATACAATCAATAATAATGTCAACAATACAGTTAATGTAATTAATATAATTTCTTTAAGTTAATTAAGAAATATATGAACAAATTTCTTACTATTTTACACTTTTAATAATACAATATACTATAGATATTTCACTAGCATTTAACAAAACTTAAACAAAAAATAATATTTTGTTTGCAATGAAAATTAATAAAAGAAATTTGAAATTAATCTTTGTAAAATAACAAATGTAAATTAAAATTCTGTGTGTGTATCTTTTATAATATAGTATAATTTTTGATATGTACAATAAATACATTAACTATTTGATTATCATTAATTAAACTTAATTTACTAATACAAAACTCAATTTCATATAATATATAATGGTAAAAATATTTATAATATATTTTTGTATCAAAAGGATTATTATTTTTATATTTTTTTAAAATTATCTTATCAAATAATGATTATACTGTAATATTATAATGCATTTTATGACTTTAAATGTTTTTAGGTACCTATTAAATAATATTTTATAAACTAATCTTTACAACAATTACTAGTAAGTAGAAAATTATAAATACTTTAAATATTTTTATTTATTTATAAGGTATCAAATGATGGGAAAAAGTCTCGTAATCACCGAAAAAAACATAAATCGAGAGGCAAAAATAAATCTTCCACAGATAATGATATTCTTTTGCAGGAAAGCTCAAATGAAGTAAGTGTAAGATTAATTATTTTTATGACTTTATTTTCAATACTACAATATAACTTTTCTTGAACTTATTACATTTATAAATTTAAAAAAAAATCTGTACTGTAATAGATATAGGATATTGTATTTAAAATTAATTTTATTAATGTTTTTTAAAGATATCAAATGATGAACAACAATTGCGGAAGAAAATTAAATCAAATGATGGAAGAAAATCTATTAGTGATGAAGATAGTCGCTTATTTGAAAAATCATCTGAAGTAAGACCTAATCAACAATTATAAACTTTCATTTTAAATTCCAAGTAGATACTTATATGTTATTGTTATTGATTAAGTATTAAGGTATAAAATAATATCAATATAATAAAAAACTTGGTTGTTGAATGAATTCAAAACTTAATCAAATTTGTTAACTATTTTTAAAAATTAAAAATTCATTATTTTGTAATAGTTACTTTTTGCTTGAATAAAAAGTAAATAACTAGTTAAATAAATTGTTTACAATTTAATTTCTTAACATTAGAGTTTTGCCTTTAGTGTGTTTTTATATAAAATCTATAGGTGACGACTGTAGTGCTGAGTCATATAAATTTAAGTGAAGCAAAATCAAAATATTTACACTCCCATCCACTGATTCACATCATTGAGGATGTTGTCTACCTCTAATAACTAATAACTTTAGTTATTTATTTAATTATTTAGTGTAGGTATTATGTAATGTAAAAACAAAAACACATATACCCACACTCTTTATTATATTAAGCGATCGCTTCAGTTCATATATAGGTTTGGCGCCACTTTGTGACAAGATATTTTTACAAAATCAACAGTTATAATTAATTATTTCATTAATACTGAAGTTATCAGTTTAATTAATTCATCATATTATTTATTTATTTAAACAGTTACAATTTTGTTTATATATTCATTGTATAATATTTAATTATAATAACCTGTATTTTGACTCATATTAAGTATTGGTGCCCTATGTTCTTATTACTGTACTTCTTATTTTATATTGATATAACCAGTCATGACATAAAATGTTTTCTTACAAATATTTTGTAGATTTTTAAACATTAAACCTTTATCATTAAGACTCAAACTAATAATTCATTAATAAGACCAACTTTTTATAATCATTTTAAGGATAGTAATTGCTTAACTGTCTTATTTATTGACTAATAATAAATTTTAATGTCATATCATTATAAAAATAATTTATATATATATATGTATTTTTAATATAAGTTAAATTTAATTAAATTTTTTAAGTAGAATAACCATAATATTAATATTCAAGTATAAATTTTTAGTAAATAATAAATTACACATAAATTACTTGTATTTTATAATTTTATACATTAATTAAATAATAACTATTATATTATAACTCTTATTACATTTTTTTAAATATTTAATAAAAAAACATAAAATATGCTTAAATGTTTAATCTTAAGCTAGACTATCAATAAATGAAAGATGAAAAGCAGTAATTTAATATTATTTATATTTTAAAGGTATCTGATAATGAAGCAAAAATGAATAAAAGACAAAAGAAAAATAGCAGAAAGAAGTTTACAAGCGATGAAAGCTTATCTGAAGTAAGATAAAAATGATTATTTTATGAACTATAAATTATCTATCAAAAAATATTTTTTATGCCTTGTTATTTATAATAAGGTAAAAATATAAAAAGAAAAATATTTTTATCTATACTCTACCATATTTAATTCAAATTAAAAATGGTATTTGGTGACATAAAGTCAATCTTTAGTCATATCTATAAATCTGCCATGTACAATACTTTTGCACAAATCAGCAAAAATGATTTTTTTTTCGACTGGAAATTATGTAACAAAAATTAAATTTTTAATGTTTTTTATCGTTGTGATTTCTTGAGTTTTTTACTTTTTTGAATGGCAATATACACTTTAAATTTCATAATCTAAAACAGAATATTTTTTTAGAGTATTTCAACACATCAAAATTGAAATTTGGACGAGTAATTTTTGAATTATAAATATTTTAAGTTTTGACGAACAGAGTAGAATAGTATGGTTATATCCTATAAAATATTCGTCTACTAAACTTAAAATACTTATAAATTTTAACCAATGTATTACTTCGTTCGAATTTTGATTTATATATATTCAAATATTCCAAAAAATAAACAAAACTATTAAAAATACTAAAATTATATTTTTCTAAAGAAATGTTGTTTTATTTTAACTGGAAATTCTGCAAAAAAAGTATTTTCAAAAACGTTAATAGACATTGAAATAATGAGTGATTAAAGTATCACCCAACATAATGGTCTACATTTTTTAAGGTATCCAATAACAAAGAAAAAAAGTTTAAGCGACAAAAAAAAAGTGATAAAAGCAAATCTTCCAGTGACAATAATATGGATGTGAGTGGCTTGTCTGAGTAATATAATCTTACTTTATTTTCCAAGGTCTTATCATTGATTTTTTAAAAAACTCTTTAAATTTCTAGAATTATAATGCATGATAAGTAGTTATTTTCAAAATTTAAAAATACTTTATCTATATTGGACTAGTGTTAAGTAAGAGATTTAATCAATAATTTTATCTGTATACATTTTTGAAGATATCAAATGATGGTGAAGAAAAGCAAAAACAGCAAAATAAAAGAAGCAAAAGCAAATTTACCAGTGATGATGATAATCGTATGTCTGAAGTAAGATTAAATTATATTTCATTATAACATAATTTACTAACAAAACAAAAAATATTAATCCATTTTCAATCTTCTATGAGATAGAAAATTTAATTTTAAATTCTGATAATGTAAACAATTTTGAATGTATCTAATGATATAGAAACAAAAACACTTACATTAAGAAATAGCAGAGAATCCTTCAACACTGATTGTAATAATCTGAATAAATTTGTATATGCACCCTAAAATTAATGATATTTATTTTATTTTAAATGCCTGTGTAATTCTTTTTATGTATTAACTAATTAGTTGTCTCCGTGCACTTTGTTATCTATAAAAAAATACTGTCACAAGACTCTGTAGCCCCTAAAACATCATCAATTTTTTAAACCTTATTTCATTATTAACTGATATTGTGGAAATAATCGATTGTCAACTACTAGGTTGCAAATTCATTTTCGCTTAGCATTTGTTCTGATTTATTTTCTTTTTATCAGCTTTTAAGGTTTGTAGTGTGATGTTATTGATAACCTATAATTTTAGGTTTGGTTATGAATTGAGTTATCAAACCCAAACAGAATTTTTGAAGTTCAACAATAGCTCCAGAGATTAGCATGTTCAAAAAAAAAAACTATTTAGCTTTATTATATTGTATTAGATTCAAAATTTATAAATTGTAATAAATATAAAGATATTTAGTATAATACATATTAATAAACACTGTTTTGATCATAAATTTTTTTTTATAATTTTAAACTGACCAGATAAATGTCATACACGTGTATGGTCACAAGTTCATACAAAAATTGCTTTAAAAATGCACTTTCAGTTTATACAAAATTTTTCAATTTTCCAATTTTTTTTTTTTTGTAAAAACCTTATTTAGACTATTGCGAATATTATAAAAAAATAAATAAGCTTAATTGGTCCATTTGTTAAGTTTTGCACTTACCAACAAACAGCATTTTATTTTTATACATTAAGATTATTTTAAAAATATCTTAAATATTTAATATAATTATCAGAAAATTTATTAGTAGAACATTAATAATAATTTTACATTTTGTATATTTAAAGATATCAAGTGATGAAAAAAATTTGCAAAAACCTCAAAAGAAACAAAAATTAAGAGAAAATAAAAATGTTGACAATACAGATGATATTAATTTGTCTGGAGGCTCACCTGAAGTAAGAATAAAATTTTAATCACACTTATAAACAAAATAATAATTTGTTTTATAAATATTTATTTGTAGACAAAAAAAATCAAATGTTTAAAATGAGTGTATACTAAAATTATAATAAATATAATATTAAAATAATTTTAATAATTTGCATTTTTGTAAAGATATCAAATGATGATGAAAGTTCAAACAACGGAAGAAATAACAGAGGAAGAAATGAACATACTGATAATGATAATAGCAGTCTATATGAAAGTTCATTTAAAGTAAGAGTAAAAATAATATCTTTGTTTCATAAGATGAGCTAATCGGTTATGAATTTAAGGATTCTTCAGAGGAGGCTCCAGAGGATTCTTCAGGAGATTCTTCAGAGGATTTCAGTTCTACGGATTCATCATATGATGAAGAAATTGTTATGCATAAATTTGTTCAACATGAAAAAAAATCAGCTCAACATTTACGTTATGTAAATATTAATTTTTATTATTTTTATTTATTTTAAGTATGTATGTAATTGCTTAAAAACTATTTAATTTATTTATTGAAGGAAACTTCACGCCGTTTAAAACATACAAACACTACTAAAATCGATTTTAAAAACCTCGATGAAGATTGGTTTCTACGCACTACTCATCAAATAATCTTGAAAAATTGTAGCAAGTGTGTATTTATGAAAAATGTATTAAATTTTAAAATTTAAAAAAAAACTTCATTTGAAAATACCTCTTCTTTGCGATATAAATAAATAACACATTTATGTTTAAATAGAATTTTTTTAGGAACATCTTAATTTATTAAGTTGGAAATAGCATTGTTTCTTTAAGAACAATGATTATTAATAATTGTTATTACTTTTAGATTATCATGTTCTATTTTGACTTCTGATCTAAAATTTGTTGCTGCTGGTTCATTAGATTCTTTAATTTATTTATGGGAGAGACGTCAACAATTTTTAGAAGAAAAAAATCCTGATATTTTACATAGTATTGGAAATATAAATCCCAGCAATTTTGCATCATCAGTACCAGGAAACAATTTAATGGAATAGTAAATATTTTTACCATATTTAAACCTGTCTTTATATAAAAATAATCTGACTTATCAATGTATTTTAAAGTTTGGATAAAAGTACAGCCTTTGTGTTGCGTGGACATGGTGGACCTATATTTGATTTAGCTGAATTACCATCAGCTAAAATTCTTCTTAGTGCATCCAATGACAAAACCTACAGAGCTTGGGATATGGTATCAAAACGTTGTTTAGAAGTATATAAGTGAGTTACCATAGTTTTAAGTGTTTTAGTTGATTAAATAACATAATTCTGTGACAATCATAATTAAAATATAAAAATAGAATTTAAAATATACAATTAACATTATACCTAGTAAAACTTAGTGATATTGTCCCTTGTTCATAACTGAAGAATTTTAAGTACTCGTTTTAAAAATATATTAAGATATAATTTAAAAAAAGTATGAAGCAATTAAAGCCATATGAATTGTTTCATTTTACTATTCTTGTATTAATTTTTGTTTTGAAAAATATAATTATATTTTTGTGGTTTAAATTAATAGTTGATTTTTCATTAAGTAATTAAAGGTTAGTTAACAAACATTCTTTATTTTAACTGATTCTGATACTTGTAATATTTTAATTGTGTCATTTTTTGTTACTGAAAATTGTCTGAATCCTAAAATATTAGCTTAAATATTAAAAACTTCATGCAAATATTTGAAAGATATCCAATTTTTATTCAACTTACTTCTCTACAGAACCCGGCTTTAATGCACAACAAAAATTTATATCAAAATTGACTTACTTCCTATAATTGAATGGTTATTAAGTAAAAATACAATATAAATTATTATGTTCATGTATAAAAATGTTAAATTAAATTTTAGTTTGTTACTCCTGTACAATTTTACTTAGTGTCTCCTAAAAAAACTTCAACTATTTGCATGACATTTTAGTGAACATGAACACAGGACATGGTGTATTGCTGCTTGTCCATATAGCTTGCAAGTAGCCACAGGATCCTGTGAGGGCGCTAGCTGTTTGTGGTTTTTGAACTATAAACGCCCGTTGAGAATTTTTATGGGTCATCTTGATGATATTTTGGTAATATTATAATATGAAGATAATCTTTAATAATTCATAATTAAAATGTATATTTTTGCAAATTTTATTTCAGGTTCTAAAATTTCATCCAAATCAAGTGCTCTTAGCTACTGGTTCATCAGATAAAACTGTTAGAGTGTTTGAACTGACTACAGGAGAATGTCATAGACTTTTAATGGGGCACTCTGATTATATCACCTGTTTAGAATTCAATGCTCAAAATTCTAATCATCTAGCATCTGCTTGTAAGTCATATTTCATTTTGTAAGAGATGATTGATTAGTTTAAGTAAGGTGTTACTTTATAAAAGTATTCAATGTTAATCCTGTGTTTCATCATTTTATAAAAAAATATTTCTAAAATTACATTTTTAATCATCTATAGTATTTTTAGAGAACTATATAATATTACTTCTTAGGAGGTATAAACAATTTTTTTTTATAGGAAAAAATTAGTTTATTGTATATTATTTAAACGACACTAATAATTTTATTGTTTTATATATTAATTCTATCTTCATTTAAAAAAATGAAAAATGTCTCACCTTGACTTTACCCTACAATATTTCATATTTTATCTTTATAGTTTTTAACTTGTTAAAATATTTTTTCAGCTGGTTGCGGAGAAATAATTATATGGGATGTACCATCTAGTGAAATGGTATGGAAGATTAAAGTCGGCAACAAGTTATTTTCAGATCTGGTATGGTTAACCAAAGATATATTATTGGCTTCATTAACTAGTGGTGTTGTCTTAAAATGTGACACTAAACTGTAAGTAGAATTTATTTATAATATTTATTCTATTATTTATTATTTTTTTTTTTTTTACCAGGAATTACGTAGATTCCTCCTGTAAAGTAAAAGGATTTGAAACTACATTTGATCGCCTTATATCTTTACAAATGATCAATAATACGGTGTACACAATAGGTATTCCTGATAAATCAGGTGGTCTTAGACCAATACCTAAGCGAAGCAAAGAGAAAACTTTACAAATGAAAAATGAACAGAAATCTCGTAGGGAATCTTCACCTTTGTCTAAACTATTCTTCCCACAACATATTATTGATAATGATGGAAATTCAATGAAACCTTTACATGGACTGATCTCAACAGCATCAAAGCATCCTCCTTTTAATTATGAATATCAATTAAATACTAATAATCAATTTAAAAAATCAACTTCACCAAGTTTTTTGAACATGAATTTAAGATCTGCACCATTCAATTTATCTGCTGATGAAATATCAAAATTAAGTTCTGAATATCAATCAGAAAATATACGATTAGTTCCAGCAACAGATATAACTAATAATCTTCAAAATGCTTACCTGTTGCCAGTTCAACAAAATGTTCGGACAACCAATCAAAACTCTATAAATATCCATTCAACAAATGATCAGTTACCGAGTACTAGTAAATCACAAAAATCAAATAAAACTCCAGGACCATCAAAGTCAAAAATAACAACAGCTAAACAACAAAACTTTGGTAAAAGTAATTTAACAATGCATACAAGTATTCAACACATGCAAATAAAAACCACTACAATTCAAGAACAACTACATATAGATGATCAGAGAGAAACCAATACATTAGTCCAACAGTATGTGCAAACAACTAGTACAAGTACCCACAAGCAGCAAACTTCAAACCTATTGCAATTTACACGGCCTGGGATGAGCTCTCAATTACCTCAGAATAGTATTGGGCAGCAAGAGCAGCAGCAACACAGTGTTGGAAGTAGTATTAGTGTAGGTGGAACAAATGTTCAACAGCAGCAGTTATTACAACAGATGCGGTCTAATATAAATTTAACCCAAGGGAATGTTCAACAACGCTTATCCCCGCAAACAAATAATCGGTCACCCAATATCAATGTTACTCAACGTCCATCTCCTAGACAAAGTCCTAATCAATCATCTTCGGATGAAACAAGCACAGGTAAACATACTCGCATGCAGTGATGGTTGAATTAAGCCATTTAATGCTTCAGAACTATATAAAATAAACCTCTATTTACTACTTATTTAGATATGATTATTATTTAAAATGTAATTCTTAGTATTCGTAATTATAAGTTGTGTGTTATTTATGTATTTTATATTTTATCTTTTTAAGTAAAACAAAACTATTACAATTATTATTTTATTTTTAAAATTAAATGATACTGATTTTTTGTACTACATTTGGGGTTTTCAACCTATACATCGTGACTCCCAAAAGCATCGTTAGTTAATATTAAAGAAATTCAATCTTCAGTAGATAATGTAGAGTTTTTTATTTTATTATTATCATTATTCACATAATTAATTTTAATTATTTTTAAAAATGAAAAAGCTGTGGACCAAAAAAGATTGAAAACCTCTGTAATACACTATTATTTTTTACTTAATGCAATTTATGAAAATAGCATTTATAATTTTATGAAAATAAGGTAGTTATTTTTAATTTTTTGTTTAAATTTTTAATTTTTATCGCTGACCATTTTTTTTTATTTATTTTATAATTGGGTTTTAACCTATGTATATAAACAAGAAATGGTATAAGATAGTACTGACTATGTATTACGTTCATAATTTATATTGTGTGTTTGAGATATTTATTATTAATCAAGTTAATCTAATTTGAAAAGATTATGAAGTTTGGATATAAAAATATTGATGTTAAGAATTTCATTTAGTTTTAAATCATAAATGGAAAACGTATGATATTTTCATCCATTAAAAAATTTAAATTTAAATAAAATTTTTACTAAAAAATTTGTGTTACAAAGGTTCAATACATTATATATATTTTGATTCTTATTGAATGAATAAAAATTTAAAATAAAGAACTTCTTAATTATCATTTGACTAAATATTAATTTTTATTTTGTCACTTAACTTAATGTACCTATGCATTTGTATTAAATTTAAAATTGATCATTGCAATTAATATTTTGTTGAAAAGGGTATGGTTTTTGAAAAATAAAATCATATAGACATTAATAAATCATGTAAAAAATAATAATCAAGGACCAAATTTATTTTTTAAAATTACCTAAAAAAAAAAAAATAACTAAATTAATCAACTGTCCAAAATTACTTATATACACTTAAAAAAATTAATATAGATTAGTTATATTTTTCCGTAATGTGTATTTTATGCAGATTCTACATAAAAATAATGAATTAAAACAAAACAATATTTATATATCTGATAACTATTTTTACTGACCTGGTAAAAATGGGAACATTTACATTTTATTTTTCATTAATTCCATTTAATGTGTATATTTGAATCTAATAATTGACAACTATGATATGAAAATGTATTCATTTTTACAGATGTTTGTTTAATAGTTATGTTTTAATATTATATGCAAAAACATGTAAAATTTAAGCCATATTATTTTTGTCAGAATAACATTAGTTACAAAAGCTTTTAATTTTGATTGAATGTGATTAAACATCTTTGAAAATTGAAAATTAAGTTATACATTCGCATAAATCCTTTTAATAAAAAGTTGTGGTCTATAGCAAAGGTCTTCAACCTTTTTAGGCTTTAAACCACCTAATATTTTTTTTAAATCTCACGTGCCGAATTCATAATAAAAACATAATACACACCATGCTTAAAATGTGTTCATATACTTCAAATAACTAAAAGGTGAACTATGGGTTGGAAAATCCTTGATCCATAGATTGTACATTATAGATTTTGTATTGCCGCCAATTGTCATTAATCTAAATTAACATTTAGTCTTAACCGGTTTCCAGTATTTAAACATCATTTTTTCAGATATAATAATGACCGTTTTATGTTTTAAATGTTAATTTTTATGAACTAATTTTTAAGTATACTTGTGGCTTTTTTTTTTTATTGCTTGTGACGACTTGTCAACAATTATAATCAACAAAATGTGTGTAAAATTTTTATTGTATAACAAAAGTTCAAAAAAAAAAAAAAAAATGTTTGTGATATTATACATTTATCTACCAACTGATAAAACTTTTGATCTGAATACTTTTACTATTGACTCCTAATTAGAAAAATTATTCTTATCTGTTACAACTAATAAATGTATTAAAACAAACCAAATAAGCTGTTCATGAATTTCAAAATGAATTGGTATATCTAATCTTAACAAAGGTACTTAACACTATTGATTGGAATACCAATTGCTGTAAAATCTTTTAATGACATTAATAGCTATACTCGGTTATTGAAGTGTTGTAGTAAAACTTTGACTTGGTGAGATAAATTGAAAGTTTATCTTTCATTGATTTTAAGGACTCTGGAGGTTAAGTTAAAATATTTTGTCATTCGCTTCCAAAGCTACATGATAAAATAAAACAAAAGTAATTTGATATGATAGGTACAATTACATTTTTTTTTTAAATATAACTAAAGTATCAACACCAAAAAGTAAACATATTGAAAGAAAATATTGATAATTTAATTTCATCAGTAATATCACAATGTCTGTACTCAGCCATGGGGTCTTGAAAAGTATACACTATACAAGAATTATAAAGTCTAGAATAGTTTGATTTTTTATAGGTAGGTACATCATGATATGTTTCTTTTATAAGTTTAAATGATGAAAAACTTATAACACTAGGTATATTTTGTACTTATGATACATATCTGATTGATTTTATTTTCAAATTCTACATATATCTTATAATAGGTACTTTTAATTATTTTTGTTTACCTACTACATGTTAGTATTAAATCCTCAGATAATTGTATTTTTATTGATTAATAAAAAAATTCAAACTATTAATAATAGAAAAAGTGAATCGATGATTGCAAAAACGACACAAATTACATTTTTTGTGAAACGTCATGAAACAGAAAACTTTAAAAGTCATTAATAAAAATACATCATATTATTTATACACACAAATTATTTATAATCAGTGAATAATATATTTTTACAAGTATTCATTTTTAAATAAGAATTTTTTTCAGAACTATTTAAATTATACATTTTTTATCAATTATCTAAAAGTTTTAAAAAATTGACTCGTGTCGCTTTTGCAATCATCGATTCAAGTAGATTTACCATCCTAAGTAAACAATGTATAAATAAAAAATACCCAGCCTCATAACCACAAATTATTAAGAGAATAATCGCTAGGCCCCATAAAGATATAGGGAACTATCTTCAAATTTATAACTTTGACAAGTAATAGATGTAACACCACTAATTACATATCTAAGTGGATATGATGATACACTTGAATATTATTATATTTCTTGTGTAAAAAAAATACTATTTATAGGTAAGTATTACTAGTGCATTATACATGATAAAATAGAATGTAGATATATTGTATTCAATTTCTAATTTAGTTTAAAAACTAATGTACCTATTTTTAATTTTAGTTTATTTAAACTATTATACAAATATATATATAAAAAAATATTTTTAGTTTTCTCATGAAATAAAATGTACAAAAATGATGTATAATTTAATATAGGTATATGATGTTCTTTATGTAATTCACAGTTAGGTGGCAAATAACCCACTTTTAGACCAACGAAATGAACTCCCTCATAAGTGTAATAAGTATAATATATTACCTACCATATAGATTAGAGATAGCAAAGCTCTGACACAATCCTAAATTTTGACAGCAAGTGAAACATTTTTATTTTATATAGTTGTTCAATTTTGTATAGTTGCATTTAATGAACTTGATTAAATTAAAACAGAATACGGAGGAAATACATTTATGGATGAAGTTAATATCACTTATTTTCTAAGCTAATAAAATACACACCTGATATTAAACTATTTTTAAAAAAAATTTTGAAATCCTATCATTATTTCATGTTTTAAATAGTGATGGCTTAACACAGAATGTCTTATAAGTTTGATTTGTCAATACTGAGAGTATCTACCTAAATAGCATTTTAGAATTTTGCATCAATATTTATACAAATTACAATTTTAATACACCTTAGGTATCTACACAATGTACTATTGTGTTCACAGAATACTTTGAACACTGAATACTAAATAACTAAATTTGTTTCGTTACATAACAATTTAGAAAGTGTAATTTTTATTTTGCATTTTTTGGCATTTTTTGTATTTTTAGTGTTAAATGCATTTTATTGCATTTATACAAATATTATGCTCATGTATTTAAACTCATTTTTGTTTATTTTAAGCTTTTTTTAATGTGTGTTAATATTGCGTTAAATAGGTAACCCCACTTACTCCAATCCATTGATATTGAAAAAAGTAATATAATTAATTGTCTACTCAAATTTGAATATATTTATTTAATTTACTTCTTTTAACAAATTTTTGTCTATTTTGTGTAATTTAAAAAATGAATAAATAATAATTAGTAATTAATAAATATTATTATTTTAAAATTAAATTTTTTTACTCATTGAAGTATATTTTTGGCCATTTTAAAGTTCATTTTTGCATTTTTTTTTTTTTTTAGTGTATTTAAGTGTATTTTTTAGGTTATTTGAATCCTAGTACTAAACATCACTATAATGATTGAAGCCTATTTTGAGGAATGCTAATATTTTTAGATCACTTTAATTAATTCACTCAGGCATCTTTCTTTTTGATGTTCATGTTTATGGTACATTTACTTTTTTACATTTTAAAATAACGAATAATATTATAAAAATAATTTTTTGTTTTTATTTCTATGGAAATATTTTAAATAAATAAATAAATAATTTTAATATATTTTTTAACAATTTCAAAGAGAAATACTTATATAGTTTACGGACATGCTCATTAAATGAATATGTCTAATAACAATTGTGATGCCGCTAGGCATAAAACTAAAAGATTTAGCTTTAAAAGAAAGCCATTTGATGCAAAGCAAATAAGAAACGAGCCAAAAAAAGAGGTGAAAAAAGAGACAAAAAAAGAGGAGATAAAAGAGACAAAAAATGAGGTGATAAAAGAGGCAAAAGTGCATGAATTCCAGGAACCTCAAGAGCATCACAATGAGTCAGAGACTGGTTTCCACAATAAACCAAAAAAGGCAGATGATACTAATTATTGTGAACACAATGAACAAATTGAAACAATAACAGAAAATGAAAATTCTAAAATGGTAATAAAAATAATAAAATAAAAAATAACATATATGTTCATCATCTTTTTTAATAGCCTCACGGATTTGAAAATAAAGCCACACAAACAAGAATTTGTTGTATTCATAATCACTGCAGAAGAAAACAACGAAAAAGAAATGGAAATTTCTTTCCTGAAGCATGGTTTTGTTTAACAAATTTGTGTAAATAAAAAATAAATAATAGTGTTTTATCTAAATTTATTTTATTCTAACTTTTTTACATTTTAATTGGTACATATATTAATTAATATATTAATATAATAATTAAATTACTTACTGTATCTAATTTTATTTATAACTTTAATTTAAGTTTTACTCATATAAGTAGGTAGTTATTAAAATGTGTATAAATTATTATGTTTATATAAATTCAAGTTTATTAATTGTTAACTTATTTATTTAATAAGCATATGTATAATGTATTCAAATTTAAAGTATAGTTAATATGCTAGTATTAATTAATATAAGAGTTAATTTATGTATCGAAATGTAAAAATATTAGAATAAAAAAATGTAAGAAATTGGGCTTAAATTTAAATAGAATGGTATGAACTTAAAGAATAGTAGTGTTTATTTTTAGACTTTTAGTAGTATAGAAGTGGTGTTCCCTGGGCAGTGTGTAGACTTTTAGTTGAGTAATAATCAAACAAAGTAAATTTCAAATTATTTGATTTGTTTCTATTACATTGTTACATGAATACTAATAAAATATATGTATATTTATTTAAAATTGTATACATGTATTTAAATATAGTAGAAAATTTTTTTTAATTAAAATTTTTGTTTGAGAATAAAGATCTCTAGTACAATGTGTTTCTCATGAGTTTTGTTTACTGCAATTTAAATATCTTGATAACATAATTACCTTTTTTTATAATAGCTTAAAGTTAAAATTTTGACAAAAAACCATATTAAAGTATGAAATATTGAAAATTATTTTGTAGTTTAAAATTCATATAAGTTACCTAATCTTTTGTTTTATCTATTGAAAACAAAATAGGAATATGGTAAAATAATTTGGTACTTAATTGTCTAAATTTACTTTAATAATCATTAGGCAATCCTATATATAATTGTATAAACAATACAAATGTATATTAATTATAAAAATATTAATATGATAAATTAATAACACATTTATATGTACCTAATAAAATTAATAATAATACTATTAAGTTGAATTATTATTTATCAAATTTTTCAAAATTTATTTTAATGGGTACTACTTTTGATAAAAACTTTATAAAAACTATAATATGTGTCAATTATGACTGGTAATAGGTATTATAATAATTAATAATTAATAATTCACAACTTGGAATATGCCTTAATAAAAATATATATTATACGACTGTACACAGATACAGTCATGTTTTAAATTTACGTTTAACTGTTTAATTATTTACTGTTACCTATATTATAAAAATAATGAATATTGAAATATCTAACCAACTGATGATTTTATACTGTACATTTTGTTGTTTTATTAGTTTATTTTTTAATATGTTGACAGTTAAGGGTTATTTTACAATGTTTCTCAAATTTGTTATATATTGGGTTTAGAAACTTATTTACAATCATCTAGAACTTGTTATCAGCATCAGATTGGGAAGGCATTAGCCTACTGAATTTTAGGATTTTTAACATTTGATTACAGCTATAGATACTGCACGGTTTAATAATTCAATTTAGTGACATGAACTGAAGCTTCATTTAATAAAGAAGGTGGGTGATTTTATTTATATATGTGTTTTTGTATTTACTTTACATAATATCTATACTAAATAATTAAATAACTAAAAGAACAACTGGAAAATAATATGTTGAAATCTTTGGTGGGTGTATGTGTAAATATTTTGATTTTGCTTCACTTAAATTTACATGACTCGGTGCCACTGATTCAATTCAATTACATTTTCTACTAATGTTCGTACCAATTTATTTGATTATATGAAAAAAAAAATAAAATACAACCAAACACTTGTTACCAGCCCATATTTTGAGTGGCGTACCGAGTGTTACTTGATAACTTGTTACGTAAATCAAACCCTATTGGTTATGTAATATGATAAATTTTACTTTTGATTTAAAATTTACAGTGCTTTTACTATAATTAGATTTTAACATAAATATTTGCTTACAGATTTTTTAATAATATATTGTATATTTTAATTGTTTTTCTTTGAGTCATTAGTAACATCCATTATGTACTTACAAAGTCATAACTATGATGGCCTTACTGATTTTATATCAATATTAAAATTTCCAATGAAATACTTAATTTATATTTTTACCTAGTTCAAATATAATTGTAATATACTTCAAACTTAAGTCTTAAATAAAATAATTAATTAATATTATTTGGTTTTTCTTCCTGGATCTAAGAGTTTATTAATAGATAATATGAATATTGCTTGTAATACTATAAATATTAAATAATAAAAAAATTAATATTCAATTAATTTTGTGTTTTATTTAAAAAACTAATACTATAAAGATTATAGAGTACAGGCTATACATATATTATTAAGACAATAGTAGTTTAATGCTATTAATATTTATAAAAATAATTTAAAATATTAAAATATGAAATTTATGTAATTTCATAAATTGAAAATTATATAATATGAATTAGATTATGGCATTGGTTTATGTATTATTATTGAATTATTTAGCTGTATCTATTTAAAGAAAATAATATCTATCAGCTTTTTGACAGAATTTTTAAAATAATGAATCATTTATTAAATATTTAAACACAATGTATAGTAATTTGTAAAATGTATTGTGTATGAAACTCGTGTATAATAATTTTAAATTACGTGCTTGTTGTAGGTTACTATTTACTATGATGGTTTTAAAATTAAAATATATAAAAAAATAGATATGATACAATTTTTTTTAATGAAATTTTAGAAGTCTAGTAATATATATGATATTCAGCTGTCATAACATTATTGACAAAGGTATACAACTATAATTTTATGATTGTGAAATACAAATACAATTATGAGCTTAATATTTTAAAGTGTATTTACATTGTACATAGTTTCAACTGTTAGGTTAAAGTACAAATTACATTTTAATTATACTCAATATTTTGAAAATATCACTAAGAAACAATTTATTTGTAAATATTTAATACAATATAACTTTATTTTTTATTTCTATAAATCAACACAGAATCATTTTATGCTTATGGTCATAATTTTAGTTTTTACTATTTAATTTTTAATACATTGTAGTATGATTGTTTCCATAAAAATTACAAAAATATTATACTAATACTAAATTTGTTATCAATAAAATGATATGCAGCATAAATTAGTTGGTACATTCTTAAAAAACCATAGTAGTTTAAAATATATATATATATGTGAATGTATATACATATTAAATCAATAAAATTGTTTCTTTATTCTCATAAAGGAATTAAAATAAAGATGATAATGTAAAATAAAGGTATTTAACAAAACAACACAATAATTAGCTCTAAAAGTAATAGTACTCTTGATAGTATAAACATTTAGAAGCTTTAAATCATGTAAATATAATCTAGCTGATATTTCTTTAATTTTAAAAACCGGAATGTAGTGTACAAAATGAACCAACCAATTGCAAATTTAAAATACATTATTAACATACATTTATATATACCTTATCAAAGACCTTTAAAACTTTTGATTCACTTTAATGAGATTTCAAAAACTAATTATACCTTTTGTCACTAGAATTAAAAACTTATGACAAATTTATGAATGATTAAATATGTAATAATAATAATACAATTTAGGTACATAAAAATAGAAAAAAATACACTCATAAATAACAATAAATTTTTAAAAATTCAATACTATTATAAATAATCAATTATAATCAATGGAATATATATAAATCACGGTATAAAATTAAGAGAGAAACATGATGATAACTTATTTTTTATTAGTTATGTATTTGTATGTGATTTTTTTTTTGAATGTGTAGTTGAGGAAGACTGCTTAGAATTCAAAAATGAATAAGTTCGAATGATTGGTTGTTCTATGCTCGAATGTTGTAAAATCTTATAACAGTTTTCTAATGCGCACATCATTGACTGTGATGTTGCTTTTATTATTAACAAATCTGGATCAGTATTCCTTAAGCGTGGACCTATTGTTTAAAATAAAAATAAAAATTAATTATTATTATTACAAAAGAAACAATTTACTAAAAATATATATTAATATTTATTATTTGATAAATTATTATAAAAAATATATTATATAATTTTATGTTCTATTTTTATAAAATACTGTATTAAATTATAACAATGTACAAAGAACAAAAAATATATTTTCACAATAATTGGATGGAAATATTTGTAATGAAAGTTGGAAGATGCAATTATTGATATAGTAGTTGTTGCAATTTTTTATAATTACCAAGTACAATTATAACTAGTAAATAATAAAAGAATATTTTATTTTCAATTATTCCTGTGAGTTTGTGTAATATTATTTTATTCACTAAAATGTTCTTAGGTATACCCACATGTTGTATCCAGATATATTAATATAACAAATTTGTGTTCAATAATATCCATTTTATGTTATTATTTACAATATTACAGTACATTTATTTTTTATCAAATTTTATAAGGATTTTTATTAAATTATTTTTTCTTAAATTTTAATTTTAATGCTTTTATTCACAAAAATAAAAATTTAAAAATACTCATAGCTGGTTTTAAAATTAAAATAGCGAAAAAATTCAACAAACACAAATAATATCTTTACTTTTAAATTTAAATTTATAATAATATCACATGTTATCTGACCACTGAAATATTTTAAGCTAATAAAAAAAAAAAAAAAACAGGAAACAACAATAGTATACCAAATTACTCAATTCAGAAAAATCTATGCTGTCAGTTTTTTTTTACATAGTAATTGCAGCATTATAATACATCAAATTTTTGTTTTTATTTCCCATTAACATTCATAATTTTTCTGATTGTTAAAAAGATAAAATCTACAATATCTAGGTATCTATAATTAATAACTAGAGGTAGCATATTAATAATTTTAAATGAACCAAAAATTATATTAAAAATCTAAAATAGAAATTAATTTAAATTGTTTTAAAATATTTAAAATGTCTTGAATTTGTACATGAAATACCTTAATATACTATTAAACATAAAAAGAAACCAGATTTTAACTGCAATAGCTAACCTTGAGATGGTAGCTTCTCTATAACACGAGCCATGTCAATAAAGTTGTTTTCAGCTTGAGATAAATATTGTCGTGCATTGGCCAATGATCTTTTAACACCACTTGGGCAAAAATCATACACACAACTTGTTCGTGAATATTTTTGTACATTTTTCTATAAACAAAGAAATAAGTTACAAAATTGATTTGAATAAATTATTTTAAAGTTTATCTATTAAATACTTGGGAATGATATTCTGCAGCAGCTCTTAAACGATTTACCCAATCTTGTCTAGCTCGTGCATCAACCGCTCTTAGCTTGTAACATTCACCATTCCAAGAATTTACAGAAAATGTGTTTGAATCTTCATCACTTGGGGATACAACAGCAGATTCCAAAAATATAAATCCCCGTGGTTGTTGTTTTGTATCATTTTCACTCTGCATAATAAAACAATATCATTTTAATAATTATTTTAAAAATATTATATATATTTCATAATATATATGACTATATTTTTTATGTAGGTTAAATTTATGTTTGTTTAAATAAACGAGTGAAAACATACAATTGTTTTTTGTAGTATATTAGTTAGCAATTAGCATACATTAGTATGAAATATAAAATAGTAAATACTATTTATTTGAAGCAAATTAATTTATTATTAATCGTTTTAAATTGAAACTAACAAAAACATGAGTTTTATCCTTCAGAATAATATTTAAATTCAATCAAAATAGAGATTTATAGGTGCATAATTTTGTATTTATATTTAGTGAGTAGTTTTATAAGTTATAACATTAAGAAATTATTTTGATTTTTGAATAGGAATCATGTTTTTTAAATGTTATAAGCCAATATACAGCATGTATAACCATTAATCAATTATATTTGTATGTGTTAATGGAAAATTTATATTATATTAAATTGTAAAATTGTTTAAATTGATTTTTATAAATTAAATTAAATATTATAATTTTTACTTAGTTATACTCTTATATATACCATAACCACCATGATTTCTGAAACAGGTATTAAATTAAATTTACCAAAATTAAATTATTAAATTAAAAATTAAAATCTAAAACGAATAATCATAACTAGGGATGGGCCGATATCGGTGGTATTGGTTTTATTGGTATCGGTTTTTTTCAAAACCAATACTTCAACCGATACGAAAAAAAAAATTATCGATAGAATCACAATTTACAAATGCACGGGTATAGTATAATATTAAGTACTTTTATTAACTATACAAATTACAAGTACTTTTTGATGTAATTTGTTATTTAACTATAACATTATTATTTATTTATATTATTTTATATTTTTATATTTATTAACAAAAATGTATAGTGAAGGTTTATTTATGTTTATTGTTAATTATTATTCATAATTATGATTATTTTTAAATCTGTAATATATATTGTATTATAGCTTTAAAATATTAAAGACTGAAATAAAAATAAACATTAAATAATCATTTATTACCATTAATTATCAATATTTTTACTTTTCTAGGTAAAATTAAATTTTATAATGTTAATAAAATATATTAATGATAAATAATAAAAAAAATTAATTAATTAATAGTTTGTATTAATATTTATAGGCATTTTTAGAAGTACTTGTCTATCAAGAAATTGAATAATCATAAATTTAAAATAATTTTTTCTTAAAGTATATTTTATTTTTTATTAAATTAACATATTATTTTTATAGGTCACATAAAAAACTGAATAATTTATTGTTTATAAAAATTGTATAGACAAATTAATTCTCAAGACTAATCAAGCCATTAACCATTAAATCTTGTATAAGAGGGACCATTAGTCAACTACTGTTTCATTAAATATTTAAAAAACTTTCATGCGGCGTGACATATCATAAATTCATAAAGTAAATTATGATTTTTTACTCAGCCATGTTGTTTCAAAACTTAATAAATTTGCATAAATGTCTTAATATTAATATATTGACCTATAAAAAAATTAAGTGGTGTTATATTTTAATAGTAATATATTTATATGAATAATTTAATGCAAAATAATTTCAAATGATTTTTAAAATTGTTGACCAAAAATGTATAATAATCTAAGTTTAAGATTTTAAAAGATAAAAAGCCTAGGTGATATATTAAGTACACTCGTATAGTAAATAGTATTACAATATAATATAATATTACGTATAGCTATGTGCTTACCAAAAAGTAACTTAGCGTTCCTTCTCTTGGGTCCACTATAAACCACCTGTGTTGCCATCCTTTGACTACATTTGTGTATTTGTACAGTTGTCCTTCTTGAATTTGGGACAAAAATTCCATGCCACCAGTGTCCATTACTTAATACACTCGTTGTGTAGGATCGGATAATATTATCAATAACGGCTGGCCGGTCAATACCAAAAAATGTTAGGATGTAAACTTATAGACACCTATAACGTCTATAACAATTTTTATATTATGATTACCTATTATTTGTTCGCATCAAATTTTAAGCACGTACGGGCGTGGTGAGAACAGTCACTTTTAAAATTGCTTAAGTACACTTGCAACAGTACGGACGTATTGCGTTATAAATTTTAAAAACGTAATCGCTTCGTTAGCTAATAACTATTAGATTATTATTATTGTTGTTGCTAGTTGTTATTTCGGTTTATTTGTTATCGCTAATTCAAAGTTTCAGTCAAAACCCGATTATTGATCGCAGCAGTTCATTGTAAACGCTAGACTGATAACAATGATAACATAATAATTAATAATACTAATAGTAACAGCGATAATACAAAATTGTTTGGCCCTTGTCCAAAGTCGTCGTAAAAGCAAAAAATATTGATAACAACATTCCCGATTTTCTGACCTTACCTCCATAGCATCGTCCTTATAGTTACTAATTTCAACTTTTCACTGAACTAGGTAAAATTTAGAATGTACCAGGTACCTACTTATACAATTAAGTACAACTTACATTTGTGTTCAGTTAAAGGAAGATTTAAATTCGAACAAAAGAGTGGCTTAATAGTACCCTAGTGACGAAGTAAAAATAATGACTAATGATGATCGATCGTATTCGATTAAGTCAATACAGCTTGATTTTTAGGATTTTTTAGATATCTTTACTTATTTAGAAATTCTATATTACTTTCCAAAATAATAAATTTGAAATTCTTTTTTGAAAAATGTAATTATAGAACGAATAATAATTTATTAATATACCTAATTATTATGAAATCTATTGGCTATTATACTTGATATTTTGAGTTCTGACTAAGTCATTCCTTTTAAGTTTTTTTTTTTTAATCTTCTAACCTATGATTTATGAACTTATTTTTATCTGATCTTAAGTAACTACACGTAAACCCAACTTAATTATAGGTAGATATTTTGTTGAGATAGAACCTTCAGCAATGTAAAATATATTTATAAAGTGCTTAAAATTTACTTATTAGAAGAATAAAAAGTAATATTTTTATTATAGTCATAATAATTGACAGTCGATGGTTGACAAAAATTAATAAGCCATTTTTAAGGAAAAATATTAATACTTCACTAGATAAAAAGAGACATTTTAAAGACGAACCAAATATATTGCTCCCCACGTTCTGGGATCTTTACTGATATAAAACTTAAACATTTATTTTGTAGATGTTATAATGTGTACTTAAATCAAATCAATTTTTTTTTTTTAAACTGTTGATGCCTTTCAAAATTCGCTACCCCATATAATAATTCTGGTTAACCTTAAAGTAAGTACGTCCCTGAAAAAACTTAATCTAATTAGGAACCTAACTTCTTGTTAATATCTATACTTATCTTGGTTAAAATAATCTCACTTATTAAACACTACTTTCTAGTTTTAACACATTAATTACTAATTAGGCGAGTGAAAATAGTATGAGGACTCTGGATTATCATCATAGCATATTATGTGCATTGTCGACAATTTTATAAATGCAATTAGTGTGCACTGTGTAGTTTACGGATGATTTCATGAAATATAAATAGGTTCTGTGTTCTATCTATATTGATTTAATAAACACTTATAATAATTTAATTCGTATTTTTTCATTATACCTGATATATTTATTTTTTTAAATACATATAAATAATTTAAAATACATAATATCATATACCTATATACATGATTTAATTTTTTTTTAAATTTTTTTTATTAAAATAATTTTTATTTTATACAATACAACTTATCCTATATCAAGAAACAGGTCTGTACGTCTAAAAAGCATTGCTTCTTTTTTAATAGTAACGAATTTATGTACCTATTATTACAATTAAAAAAGCACACGTAAAAAAACAAATTAAATTAAATTATTTACCTTTATATTTTGTGTTTTTGACAATCTTTCTTTTTAAAACGTAAGTATTTAACATTTTTTTATTAATTTCCTAGTTATTTTTTTATAAAATATTTCATGACATTACTACTCAAAAATGAAAATTTATAATATTTATTGTTGGTCTATACATTTTTTGTAATTAAAAATAAAGTTACCGAGTCTTTGGTTGAAATTATTCATTAAAATTTTATAAAAAATGTTAATTTAATATGTATCTGTATAATTTATTATATTAATCGAAATAAGGGTTTACAAATCACGTACCTACATCAATATTACTGTGTCAGCAATATACTAAATGTGAACAAAAGTAACACCAAGTTATTTAATAGGTATATTGTAAGAATCTAAATATAGACATTTATTTCCAGCATAATAACATTAATATACGATAACATACACTTTTAACTACCATGGCTAGTTTTTTGTTTATATTTAATTTGAATTAAATTATTTTATATAATGTTATTTAAATCTCAACTAGAACAAATTCTTAAATTGTAAAATGTATAGATTAATGTATATTTGAAATGGTGTAGAACTCTAAATATTCCTCAGTATGTATTATGCACCGGCCAATCCATTCTATAAGAGAATAGTATTATTAACTTAAGTAAAATTTTATTTCATCAAAAATATAAAATAGCTAAATATTGATATAATTTATTTTATATTTTATTTCATTATTAAAATTAATTTTATTTTACATAACTTGTCAATTGTCATAATTAACTCAAATAGGTTAGGTTAGGATACATTCAAGGTAATTATTAATAATTAATCATATTTTTGATTTAATATTTTTTTTAATGAATAATGATCGTTTTTTAAATACCATCAGACAAAAATAATTAATTTCGTAAGTAAATATTAATTTTAATATAAAAAAATATAATTTAGTTAGTCTTATTAGACAGAAAATGTATTGTTAGTACCATTGGCTCCATTCAAATAGTTTTTGTCCAAACGTATCACCATGTTTCTACGCTTCCATATTCTGTAAATATAATATTTGTGATTAATTATGACATTATATATGGTACATTGACTAAAACTTTATCGGGTCCAGATTTATATGCAAAAAAAAAAATGATACGTAAAATATGCACTTACAGATGCGTAAATATACAAAAAAAAACAAAATCCTTTATTATCGATTAATTTATAAGGATATTTATATATTTTTTATTATTCATCTATACCAAGTAAGTATGAGATTTGACACAATCGTGGCAGTGTTTTTCAGGTTTAAATTAATAACGTAATATTATTATGTCACTTTGTATTATAGTTTTAAATAAATAATAATACAATTTTAAAATACACGTAATATCAATAACAATTGGTTTTGCATGCTAAGTTGTTCATGCAGTTGCCGATGTACCAATATTGTTAACTGATAACAACTATAAATTTAGTGACACATTTAATGTAGGATATTTATTATTTTACATACCTGATTTAAGACGTTAAAAATAATTATAAAAAAAAAAATATATCATATATTTTACTATTTTTTATTATTATACATTTTTTTTTTTTAATGAAAATATGCAATACATGAGTATTTAAAGTTTATAAATTAAGTATAGTGGTAGGTACTCTAGAGGTATTTCGTAAAATGTTGATAACTACTTCGCTCATCTTAACTTTAAAATTTAAATGCTCATTTAACTAATAAATTACTTGCCCGAAATTTGATTTTTATAAATAAAAATATTTCAAATAATATTTTTTTTCAAAATATGAAATGTATTAAAAATGTATGTTGTTATTTAAAAAAGTAAGAACTTGAAAAAAATTATGAAAATTCTTTTTTTTTTTTTAAAAATCAACGTAATTTATAACAATTTAAAATTATATAAAAGGAATATTTTCTAAAATAATTAGTATTTTATATATTTTATAATTGATGACCTAATATAATGGATCACTCTTTTTATGTGCTTATAAAAAATGAAATATATTTTTTTAAATAATAATTGGATAGCATTCACAAGCAATTATTTTTAAAGAAAATATTAATTATAATTAATAAGAAAATCAAAATGTAATAGGTATTACATATGGTAACTGTATATAGCATTTATTTAAAATTTTTAAACTTCAAATTCTTGTGATTACGTCTTGTAGCATATTTTTGTATATTATAGATTTTTCATGACGTCATATACTACAAAGAGTACAAAGACGCATATTTAAAGCTGAATGAATCTTCAATTAACGGTTCTTAAATTGCATTCAATCCACTCATTTTTTTATTTACAAATATTATTTTTTAAATTTATAGTATCAATGATATTTTGACAATAGACAATATTTGTTAGCTGAATTCAATAAAAGTCATAGAATTATTTTTGTAAAAAAAAAATTACAGTTAAAAATTTAGGTATAAATGGTATAATAATACAATTTAATTTGAAGTTAATAAAACTAAAATAAATAATTTTATAAAACACGTTATTTGAAGCCATTTATTACATTATATAACGTATAAGTTTTAATTAGAATTATTTTTAATTAAATAAATAATAGTATGTATTTGCTTATAAATCTGGGTACCAATAGTTTGTAGTGCGTATTTTAGATATATAATATTTTGATATACTGACGATGAAAAAATTATCAACCAAAACCACAACATGGCAGCCATTGCAAACGTGATGATACACATTAGAAGCCCATTGTAAAATGAATTTCTATCTCTTGAGTTTAAGAAATATTCAACGGTTTTCATGCCACATGCTATGAGCACAAAACACCATATTGTTACGAAAAAGAGCATCACCATAAACTGACCAAAGAAACCTTGGCAGTTTTTTTTCTCCTGCAACCACTAACGTACACATAATATTTTAACGATGAATGATGATGATAATAATTTTTTGTACAATGGTTATAAATAATTATAATTACAATATTAAAACTCTGTACTTATAATTTGTATTAGAGTGCCTTGATAAAGAGAATTATTATTTAAAAAAATGATTACATGACAATGATAACAAATAAACATTATTTATTGATTATTGTACAACTAAATTATTAAAAGAAAGTAGGTTTCAAACTTAACAGTCTTTATTGTGAAAAGTAATACTTAAATTAAAAGAAAATATTGAAAATAAATGTATAAACTAGACAAAAATTAAATATAAATTAGAAAGTAATACAAAAACAATCTAGGTAATACTGTATCATATTAGAGTTATTAGTTTATTGGCCTATTAATAGCAGACAATTTTAATATAAGTTCAATTAGTCACACTCTTTAAGGTACATTAATCTATATATATGTCATAAGATAAAATTTGATTTCAGTGTAAAACTGTCAATCTGATACACAAATTACATCTTGTCTATACGTTATTACAGTTGATATACATTATACAAAGTACTTATAGAAGTAACTAAGTCTGTAAGCTGTCGGGGAAAGGAGGAGTTTAAGTTTTGAAATTTTTTAATAGCAAAATAAGGTATGGACTACAGAGTCACTTTAACACAGTTAAAATACTGAATTTTTTATAAATAATACGTAAAAACACTGCGTGATTAATTTTAATATTGCTAAAAAGTAAAATTGTCAATATTAAACTCACATAAACTATAAATAGGGTAAGTAATAAATAATATAAAATTTTTTTTAGTTCTATCTACTTAAACAATTGTAAATATTTTGTATTAATGATACCTACTTATGATCCGAACTATGTAAGTGTATAGCTATACAAACTAAGAGCTGCTTATCTTTAGTAATTAATGTTATTATATTTAAGTGCTTAACTAGCAATTTCTGAGAATGATTGAGTAGTTAAGCTATGTTATATATACAAAAAATATATCCTATAATTGACAAATTTGATGCTGAAATATCAGCAATTAACTGTTACGTCAGATAGTTAATTTTTTTATTATTATCTAATAAAAATTACATAAATACCCAATAAATTAATTATTAATATGTATATTTATTATATAATTGAAATACAGAGTTTAAAAATGATTAGGTAATTTGTAGTGATTCTAATTCTTTGTGATTTTTAGATGACATAGGTATTATGTAGTTTTAATTTAATAATAATTTTAATTTTTACAAATTTTTAACTAGTAATATAAATAAAATATTAGGAAGATATTTGGGTAAAGGTTGGTGGATGAAAGCATTCCATGGATTTGTGTACATTACAATAAAGCTTACACCTACATGAGTTTCTACCAAATATCGTAGTTTATGTTATTTATTTATGAATATTTGTTGTTTTTAGTTTATAGTTAGAGATAATTATAATATTACAACCGTGGCTATATTATTAATGTTAACATTAAAATAATATATATATATTTATGTGTACAATATGTCTAAACAATAAAATTATGAAAATTTAAAAATAAATAAAAATATTGTATGAATAAAACAAATTATAAATAACTATGCTTTTATATAGTACATCAACAATGGGTGAAACAATGATAGTTTGACTAATCGGTACTCGGTTGAGCGTTTAATGAGCTGCAATGAATGGTGTTAACTTGATAACCAGATAATTATCATTAATGAAGTATTGATGATTTTATTGAAAAAATAATTTGTTGTCGGGTATTAACACTGATCAATGACTAAATATATTTTGTGTTAGTTTTTATTGTGTATATTTAAATTTAATATATATATATCAAAAATAAAGTTAGCAGTATAAATTAAATATAAACCGATTATGTAGGTACATGTGAGGTACATGTGGATTAAAAAAAAAATATATATACTAAACCTAATGAATTTTACAATTGCTTACAATCTGTGGGGATTAGTATAGATTATATACCTGAGCCCGTCTCAATAGTTTATCATTTTCAGTCTTTACTCGGAGTCATTCCAGTTGGAATTTTAGTAACTAAGTCTCTTTTGCATATTATTAGTAGCAAATTTTTAAAACAGATATTATGTTATTAAAAAAAAGTTACGGTTTGATAAAATAGCAAACACCGCCTATTATAGATTATGATAGTATAATAATAATTGTCAATAATGTTTTTATAAATTGTCTATAATCATCTATAAATATGATTTGACTTATAAATTTTAATTTAATTATACTAAAAACGATTCTGAGTAAGATCACACCGTTTACAGGACAGCACTCAGCAATATTTCTAACAATATGTATTTATAATTAATTTATATTGGTTTTTATTTATACATAATTAATACAGTAAATTAAACCAATTTTTGACATAAATATCAACTAATTAATTCTATAATAATTAACAGTGTATTGTTGTAGGTATCGTAAAATACAATTATTGTTACTATAGATTATATATAGTAGTTCGGTATCGATGAACAGTATAACAGTGCAAAAACTGAATAGTTTAGTGGTATAATTAATATTTTAACTTACATTTTGATATTTTTAAACTATTGCTAAAAGAATGACTTGTAAGAAACCATGTATAATTTTCAAGTTTTTTGACCTTTTATTTTATCCTGTTTAACCGACAGCAGAGGAGGCTCTGTGTGAACGATATTACTCTTATGCTGCCATCGTTTATTGCTGAGTATAAATTATTCAAAATATCAAGTATACAATATTCATAATACAATTAATACGTCTGACGATTGCAGGTTGTGTTGCATCACATTACACAATAAACACAACAAAAAAAAAGAAAAGTTTTTGACCTAGGAAAAATGAAAAAAATATTTTAAAATCTATATCAAATCTAGACAATGCTAAAAATACAAATATTTGATGAAAGTTTTATATCTCTACGCTATTTATTATTAAATTACATTAAAAAATAACTAAATAGATTTGTTAAAAACTGACATTGTGTAAATATTAATATGTTTTCATATTTTTTTTAAAAATACCAATGCTTTGTTAACCATGGTCACTGGACGTTTTATACTTTTGATTGTTGACGTCTCAAAGTACAAATTAGATTTGATTAATCAATTTGCTACCATGAACTATCTAAAAAGTAAACAATTTGAATACTGTTCTAAAAGGTTTTTATAATTCATTGCTGTGATTAGAAAATAAGTATACAATATTATAATAATATACTACGAGTATATTATTATGTAAGTATCTGAAATTTTTGAATGTATAAAATCATACAAGTTTTATTAAAAATACTTTTTCGTAATTTAGCAGTCTTAATTTGTCGAATGGTTGTATAGATCAATATATTTTTTTCGTTGAAATGTAAGAACCTGTTTTTTCTAATAAACGAGTGGAATATTTTTTTATACGACTATTATAAATTTATCAGAAATCATTTGTATTATAATTTTTAATCGAAATTTAAAAAAAAGTGTTTATAAAGAAAAAAGACACTGAAAAATATAGATAAAGTTCACTTATTTCTAACAAAAGAAACAAATAAATGTTTTTCGAGTCGTGATGATAATGGAATAATGGGACAATGCTTTAATTAATGATTCGGTCACATAATTGTTATTTTTTATTGATAAATATATCATTATTTATTATACCTATAGTTTATAGAAATAAGTATTAATATTGTAATTCTGACAATATTTTATGAACAAATATCGATTGTGTTGAATAATATAATAGAAAATAGTCCGTATTATAATGGCTCGATTAATTTAAATTTTATATTATCAAGAACTAACTTTGAAAACAGTCAAGTATATGATATACAATCAACAATGAACGAAGAATGCTTAAATTATAAAATAAAGCTGTAAATTATTTTTCTTGTGTTCTCACTATTTATTTTTTAATAATGAGAAAATAGTTTGAAATACTATAATATATTTTAGAAGTTTGACTTTTTTATTCCTTGTTTGTTTCAAGATATAAACATATTCTAGACATCTCATTTCAGAAATAATTTTATCATTATCTATCCAAACTTAATCATACCTGACTAAAATTGTTTTTTTATTGTTTGTTTCTTCAATTTGTGTTTAAATTATTATTGTATCAAGCATTAGGGGAAAAAATATAAAATAATGAATTAATAATAATTATTAATAAATGAAAAATATTCGGAAAAAAATCGTTCTACAAAATATACGAGTACTTAAGTACCTATATAATTTTTGTTTTTATGATATATAGTGAAAACTGTATAATGCGGACCCTGAATAAAACAAAAAACTATCCAATACGGAATTTTCTATGGTCGCGGCATGTTCCTATAGTTTTACGTAAACGTTGAACCTCAATAAAATGGAACCTTCCTAACGCGGAAACGGAACGATTTCGTAGGTCCAATGCAAGTAAAAACTTTGCATAAGCCGGAAATATGACACGCGTCATGTAACGTAGATATGAATATGTAGGTACATCGTAAACGATAATTAAGGTAAAACTGTACTACATATATTAGTTAGGTAAATTGTATTTTTTGGTTTTTTGTATCTGCGATACAAACATATCCGGTATGTATAATAAGTAGCTGTGAAACAGTCATGCACCAACAGTCTTACACTGAATAGTTTGCTTGTACATACTAAATGATGTCCATTCAAATACATATAATATTAGAAAAATAGCAACAATAGTGACAAAACAAAAACTACATGATTTTTGGAAAAGCTAAATGTTATAATTTAATTCCCAACCTTCATACTTATGTAACATGTATAAATTGTTAATAATTTTGTAAGAAAATAAGTCTATAATTAGTTTAAAATAAGTTTTATAAAGTAATAAATTATTAAGTTAATAATTAGTTTCTAATTCAAAAAATAAAAATTATAAATGTTGTAAACTAATTTTTTTATATGATTTTCGTTTTATTCAATAAAGCGGAAAACTACTTAAAACGGAATTTTTGATTGGTTCCATGCTATTCCACATTAGACAGTTTTTACTGTATTCTGAAAAACGTTTATTATATTAGACAAATCAATAAAAAGAAAGAGTGTGTGTGTGAGAGTGAGAGAGAGAGAGCGATCGATATCGAAAGATAAAATTGTATTTTAATTTATTGTAAATTATACAAAATTTACAAATTTAAATTGTCATTATATTATAATAACTTATACATTTAACGCGTAATAATAATATTGTGTTCTTTTGGTTAGGTTGACTCTGTTGTAGGTATCATACCATCAAAGTAAATAAAGGGGTAAACGAATATTATATTAAGTAATAACATGATTGACGTTTTGTCTTAGTGTTTAGTTATATTATAATATGTACTTTACCTCGAATATAGTCAAAGAACGATTGACCGTTCTGAACGAGTAACTGCAAATGTCACATCTATTTGACTTTGATACAGATAGCCACTGTTCGAGGCACGTTACGTGGACATGTGCATGAGATCCGACACAGTTGCACGGTGATATCGTGCTTTCGTTTTTTTCTTCTAAACAATATAAACATCACAATGAGTAATGAGTTCATAGAACATAAAGCTATATTATAATCACACGCAATATCACTATACTGTAAGAAACTATCGGAATAAGCGTAAATTAAAAACAACTGTGTTGTTTTAACAAGATGCCTATATCTATGTTATGTGTAAAATTATTATGTTTATAGATCAGCTGTATATTGCTTATTGCTTTTTAACATATTCGTTGGTTAGGTTAGGCTTTTTCATAGAAGTAGGTGACAAGAACCCTTATTATTATGACTATCAAATACAACCATATGAGTACTTAATAACTTTTTATGATAGTCTTTTGAGGATATTTATTGTATTTAATTTCTAAAAAGTCATGAAAATGTTGATTGTAAAGAAGTTACACATTTATGACATTTTCTAACTTTAGAAACGAAAATTACATACAGTGTATCTCAATAAAAAATATAATAAGTCAATAAGGTATATCAAAAGTTATTGGTTCTTAAATTTATTTTTTAAAATCACCTGATATCTACATTATCTGAGAATTAAAAATTTAAAAAAATTATAAAATATTTTTTTGTTACTACCTTTAACATTTAACTGGTTTACAGTAATATTTCTGCGTGTCATTGTATAATAACATTTTACATTTTTTCATTTACATTTATACGCACTTCTATAATACATCAACTATAATTTTTTACCTAAACGCATTTGTTATTACTTATTAGTCGTTATAAAATTAAATGCAGTTCTCTTATTATAGTTAGTAAGCCTATGATAATATTTAATTTTAATAGCTATATACTTATGAATTATATGGTATTATAACAGTGGGGTGTAGTATGAAAACAACAAAATGTGATAGAGGCTTATAATATTGTACATATTTGATAAATTTAATCACATTTATTTTTTCAAATGACGTAGCCTATATTAATACAAAAATAGTAGAGTACGCATAATATGATGATATGTACAAGTTAAGTATGTCTTGTACAAGGCGAGAGATAAAAATAAAACTGCAAAACAGCAAAGATTATACAATAATATAATATTATTATTAAAATCTGAACAACGTAACGTATTTTTATAGGTCAACACTGAACCGTTATATATGCAAATAGAAAAATGCAAGTAATAAATATAAAAATAGCCAATGATCTTAGCTGATAAGTTATAAACAATAATAAATTACTGTATTACTTGTGGGGCTCGGATTTATGTATACTAAAAAATTATGAAATATTTTTTCTTAAATATGTGTTTATACATCAAAAAAAAAGTAAATATATACTGTTTATTTATTATTGTATGACTATAATAAATTTACTAAAAAAATATAGTTTAATGACGAGAAAAAAATTATATTGCTTGTAATGAACATTGGGTTGTATTTCAATTTATCTATGTTTATTTATTGTAGAGTTAGCAGTATTTATTAAAATTAATGTTTATATTTTCTAGAAACTATACGTTTTTGAATTGTTTCTTAAGATATAGAATTGACATTATTGTGTTATTATAAATATATCAAATATGGCATAACAATTGCTGTAAAATATGTTATAAAAACTGCAAAATGGAGAAATATGCTCTAAAATAATTTGTTTTTTTAATCATATTTTCATGCGACATATATGTATGCTTACTTAGCACGAAGTATCTTCGACATTTTCTAATAAATAAAAATTTGAGCCTTAAATATTATTAATGTATGGGTAGCATCATTTTCCATCAGGATTATAATTATTATGTACATTCAATGCGCAACAATAAAATTATTATGATGATTGGAAAGTGCAACAAATTAACTTTTATGTCACATAATCAAAAATCTTCGTTTTGATTGTTCCACTATGTCCCACCGGACCCACGCTACTGGGAGTGACGTCCACATAAGAGAAAATTATTTTCTTTTTAGAAAAGGGAGTAGCAATGTTCTAGATATACTCTACCCTTCCCAAGTGAAAATACATTAATAAAAACCGTTAAGATCGTATCAATGAACAAATATGAAAAAAAAAATATAGTCAAAAAGCAAAAAGCAAAAAACAAAAAACAAAAACAAAAACTAAATGTGTGTAATATAAGTTTCCACCACTTAAACACATAATACAGTTTGTGTACTATTTGTAATAATTTTACAGCATTAAGAATGAACTCATTATTGTGATGTATATTCTACGTTTATTATATTTGTTAATGAAACTATTTAAAATATAACCATTGCTATTCGACCTGTTTCAAATAATCGATTACTATAAAATTATAGATAAAATGATAAATATATTTATATGTTTTTATCTTTTATTGTTTATATTATTTGTTTAATCGGTTATTGAATAATTAATTATTGTAATGTTATACTTTCGTTTATTTAATCTCGATAAGTAGGATGATGTAATGATTGTAATGTATGATATGTGTTGTAAAAGTATCTAATATTAATGTGTAGTGTACTAGTGTGTATAGTGTACATAATGCACATCAAATTTCGATAACATTATATTATTTTATATTGTGTACTTAAACAAAATGACAGAACAAGCTTGAGACAAGGACAATAGTACTTGTTGGCACGTGTAGTACATAAATTTATAATTGGTCATAAATATCTATATTAATATCATATTATATTGTGATCAGAAATGTGGTTTGCAGCGGAATTCAAAGCCCAAAGATATCTCATGGATATTCATTATATTTTACAGATGTGTTAAAAAAAAAATAAAAAAAATAATAGTTGTTTTTTTAACAAATACTAAAACGTTAATAGTATCGTGGACATTTAAAAACGATAAAATGTTATTTTTTTTTAAAAATGTCTTTATATATTTATTAAATATTATATTTTTCATTATAATATTTATACGTATAAACATTTTAAGGAAGTTTTTCATATTTTATTGACAGCGTGTCAGCGTTATTTTATTGAAAATTAAAATTACTTAAGATTACACAATAAAATTTAATTCGATTAATACTGGTGTAATTAAAGAGTTTAAAACTTTGTATTTTTATACAAAAGTATGTTTTTTGAGTTTCTAATATTAGATTTGAAGATTTTTTGAGATTGTTGGCGGGAAAAAAATAGGGAGAGGTCTAGGGAGTTAGGGATAAAGATCTTTTACTGTTATATAGCTCTTCCCTAAAAATACCCTAAAGATTTTATACCTCATTGAAAATATGAAAATATTTCATCTCTATACATAAAATCAAGGTTCAAAAAGTCGTTCATTTTTTAATACTCAATGATAAATGAAAACCATGAATGACACATAAATTTAACTTCATTATAGTTGATATGTGTAAACACTTAAATGTATAAATAATAAATTATATTCATGAACATAATTTAATATTTCAAATCCATTTTGTTATTTAAATTATTATGTGGAGTGCTAAAAGTTTATTAAATGGATTACAAGTTGTGTGTGTTCATTATTTCTATTTATCAATCAGTATCAAATTAAATTAAATGCAAGATAAACTAAATTAAAAAAAAAATATATCAGAATGATAGGTACACGTTGAATACGTCGTAGTATATGTCTTAACTAAGGAAATAGAAGCTCGATAATTTAAAAACGTGATTCAAGTAATTGGTATAATTTATAAATTAATATTTGATATTTTAAAATAAAATACAATTATTTCCTAAAAATAAAATTGTTTTAGGTGTTTTGCAAATATTAAGAATATACAATTTACTGTATAATTATTATTTATTCTGTGTGAAGTGCTAAAAGTTAATTTATTATTTAGTATTTATCTTCAGTTCTTCCTCTGCAATGTAAAGTATTAATACTTAATATTTTAAATTTTCTATAAGCTCAAAACAGATTAACAATAAAGATATGATTAAAATATTGTTAATGACATTGTTATTAACGTTGAAAGAATTTTAAACGAATTTTCTTAATCTAAAAAATGAACAAAATTAATATGATTATTATTATAATAATTTCTTGTGTACAGAAATTAATATATTCATATTTATTATTATATCAACTTTAATATACCAAGTATTTAAAAATGAAAGCACTATATTAAATTTTTTTTTTTTAAATGTATGTGTATGAATTAATGGATTTTAAAGGTTTAGAAAAGAGTCTAATATGGATATGATATCCTGCCCGGATTTTTAATACTGTGTCTATATGGTCTACCATTTTATATTTGTATGTAAAGTTATCTGTTTTTGTAACACTTTTCTAACTATACAAGTTGTTAGATACACTCGTGTCAAAAACTAACGTTATTTTTTTTGATTAAATTATTCATTTAAAATTTAATTTTTGAATATTAATTCCTTAGCACGCATTTATGATTATATTGTTTTCATTTATATCAGAACTGAGATTTATTTTAATTTGACAAAACCCAGCTGATCGATAAATTATCGTAATTAATAAAATACATATTATGATAATGGAAAGCGATTTTGCAAGTATGAGATCAATTTTGTCATCATTATCTGTTGATACAGGTACCTTGCACCACACAATATTTGTACAATTTATTATGTACTTACCATCATAGCAAATTCGGCATGTAATTAACTTTTCATTTTCGCCATGTTCATCGTTATCGTGTGTGCCTCGACTGTATCTTTTCTTGTCGTCCGAAAACGGTTCCATCTGTACAGCCACCTCTGACTGTTCAACTTCACCCCGAAGGATAGAAAAATAAAAAAAAGCACGTTAGTTATTATTTATTAATATTATAAAATTTAGTTTCGAGTTGGTACTTAGTATAGGTATAATGTCGTCTACACCACAGCAAGTACGGTGTGCTTGTTATAATTAATAGACGTGTATCAAAAATTGGCAAAAATAACGTATAATATGAATCATTATTTTTCCTCCATTTAAACGCAACACCGTAAAATACTATTACATTATTATATATTGTGCATGTACGATTTACCGAGAACATAATATTTTGTGATCACGTATAAAATAATAATAATATGCCCATAGAAAATATAATTCTCTGAACGCGTTTGTTTTCACAGTGTAAACACTTTTAAAGTAATTATTACAATTTTTTTTTCTCGTAGCGTGTCACCAATAACTATAATAGTGTATTATATATATTTATGAGTTATACGCTACAGCTAACTTATTTATTTATTATTTTTTTATATTATATAAACATGTTTAATAGTTGAATAAATTATTGTGACGTTTCGTTTTTACTAGAAAATATAGTAATATATTTACTTACTTATATTTAAATTGATTTCCCTAAAAAATTATGATAAAAGCGCAAATAGACCGTAAAAATAATTGATTAGGTAATATAAAATACGTACAACATGATTCACTAAGTATGTCACCTTCCTTTTTTCATTGAATCAATTAATTTAAATTTTGATTTTTGGAATTTTTAAACATATTTCAAGATTATATTTTTAAAATTTGAGTTTTATGTACTACTTAAGGAATTTTTTTAGCAAATACAAATTTCTATTTTTCAAATGAAAACCTTTTTTTGTACTTAAATTATTTAGTGGATAATTTTTTTGAAAACTTTATTGTATCTAATTCGAAATTTGAAAGAAAAGATTTAAAGTTGTTAATATGACTTGTTTATATTAATTACTAAGAATATAACAGTTTACGTAAGTCATTTAAATTTTAACTTACATGGCACGTTTGTATGATAATGTTATAATTATTATTTATAGCAATTATTAATATTTAGATATTAAGTGTTAGTTACTACAAAACACAATTGATCCTTCTGATACTTTAATTATCATTTATTATATTTTCCTAAGTTTTAGTCATTATTAAACATGTACATGGAAAATAAATACAATTTTAACCCAGAACTAATAAGAACTGATATTTGGATTTTTTCAAACATATTATGTATGAAAATGTTGTAATAGTTATTATGATTATTTGTGTGTGTATTCTGCGAAATCACAATAACTAATGTCTAATAACTTATACGAAATACTAGTACAAACTATGGTTAATAACAGTCTACTTGTTAAAATATGCCTGCGATAATATTTAGGCATTATTTAAACATACATTTCATATTTACATATTATTATAAACCAATTAATTATCATTAATAGAGATGCACTAGGTTAAATAATAAGTACACTGGTATATAAATTATCTATATATTTTATCTTTACCGTTCTTGTAACTTTACTTGAATCTATTTAGGAGAGTTCGGAATAAAAACCTAATTTTGTCTACATATAATAATTATATTATATATATTTCAGTGTTTGAGAATAGACAAACTATCTAGTTTTTTAACACGTTAATAATAATAAACAATTTTTATAAATATTAGGTAGTTATCTATAGAGGATAAAATACAATTATTAATATTGTCGCTTCGTGCGCCTGATAGAAATTTAAGTACTTAAAAAAAATATCAGAATTATTGCCTAATTAAATTTGAAAGTAAGTAAATAATTTATTAATTGATCAACGTTAAAAGCCTCTAGAATTGATAATTATTATATATTTATTCCCAGCATAAATTATTAAATAATTCAAAAATACATTTTCGTTAAAATTGTTTTCGGAGGTTGCAGAGAAAAAAAACTTATCTTTGTATAATTGACATGATATATTATTGACATTTCTAAATGTTGAAAAAAATAAAATGATAATACTTAAGTAAGATTAATTAACGTATAATTATAACGTTTATGATAAAATACTTATATCAAAAAGTTCATCATAAATAATGGCATCGCTTATATCAACTTGCCTTCTAATAACCGATATAATATACCTACGTGTTTAAGTATACATATAAAACTTAATAAATAAATTTATACTATTATACAAAATAAATATTAATAATAATGATAATAAAAAAAATAGTAATTACCAAAATTAATATTACGCACATTGCTTTTTTTGTTTGATATAGAACATAAAAATAAAATTAATGATTTTTTTACAATCATTATAACATACATGTTATTTTTTTTTTTGATTTTTTATTTTTTTCACTAAATAATTGTATAACTGAATCGGTCTCAACGCACAAAATTTTAAAATGATGTTCTTATAGTAGTACGAACTAATTACCTACTGCGATTTTATCGGCGCGGTTTTAACGACTGCGGTTTTATCGAGTCATGTCTAAACAAAAAAAAAAAAATTGCAGGCGACTCGATATTTTTTGCGTCACAATAATCATAATATGTAGGTGTGAGTATAATGTATCTCAGTTTCATATTTATTTGTCGAAGATGAGATAATATCATCATCTGTATTTCACGCAATGTGGCATGTGGGGCTAAGGAGCACAGAAAAAATTTGCGTTCCAGTGATTTTTTTTTTCTCGACCTCGATGTATTACCGTGGGCACAATAACCGTTGCTACTTCTGTTACAGTTACCCCTTCCTGCAATTCATGTAAATCAATCGTCACATTTTCGCACGAATCAGTCGAAGTCATAACACACACGGCATCATAAAAATTGCGATTTGCAAGTAGTGTCACTATTTACTTATTCTTAGTAAATTTTTTACGTTTTTTTCGCATTGCCATCACGTGGCTACCGCACAATCCTCATACATTATACGACGCTTAAACGGTGCTACATTGTTATATTTACTGTAACGATAATATAATAACGGATAACATTATTTATATACAATATGCATACACATGAATCTTTCTTTCTTTGCCTTCCATAGACTCAAAAACTATCGGACCGTTTTCAATAAAAGTTATATCAATATAACAAATTCTCTGAAAACTCAAAGAGGATTAAATGTTTCATTTTTAAACCCACAAAGATTGCTATTGTAGAGTGGCTCATACATATATTTTATTTCAGCTCACGAATAAATTGTATTTTTTTATATTTTTATTACAAATTTTTTTTTTTTTAATGTCCAGTAACTATCCAAAAGTCCAATATTTTTTTAATATAAATATATTATTTTTTTTTGACGTCCCAATATCCCAATGTCTAATCGGCACCTTCCGCCCATTTGTCCTTATTCGTTGGGTTATATAGTTATATATATAAAGTAATATAATTCAAGTAGGTAGTAAAATAATTTACTAGCAATTATGGTATAGAATGGAATAATAGTTTAAAATAATAATATATTTTTTTATGCTAGAGCTCGATTTGCACAAAAATAGGTATATTCAAATAATACGCGTAGTGCTTGATACAATAAAAAACGATACAAAATATAAAAAAAATGAAATTGTCTCAGCTAAGAATCATAACCAGTATAGTAGCCATTTATTAAATTACGATTGATGGATCCATTCGCCTATTTGACTCGTTACACTGGTAAATGCGAGGTTATGTATAGCTATTTTTAAGTATATATTTCTATGTTTATAATCTATTTTTCCGATTACATCGTATATATGTTGATGAGTGATGACTAATACTATTTTTTTCGAGTTATTATATTGAAAAGTATTTAAGTTATAATATATAATATATATATTTATATTATTTGAAACCATGATAAAACAACAATTTAAAAAATTTTTTTTTTGTTGTCATCAATTTTCATGTTTTTTTTTCAATATGAATGCAGGATGACAACATATCGTACATTTAAAATGGAAGTTACCAGTTTCACCAAAAGTATTCCTTTCCTTTTCATGCCAAATAAAAAAAAAAATTTCTTATGAACAAAAAAGATCGTAAATTTAATACAAAGTAAAAATAGTTGTTAATACTTATAAGTTATAATATTTGTTCTTACCAAAATTTCTCTTATAAGAATAATATCAAAAATAATAATAACCAGTAAAGATAACTTTTAAATGTCAATAAAGATGATGCATTAGGCATGAATTCAAGGGAGGGGGAAAGTAGTGATGGCCCCTCCACTTAGAATATGGTGAATTATAAGTTGTCTGTTTTCGATAACCAATAGAACGTATTGTCTTGCCAAACGGTAAAGGGTTTTGCTGATTTGCGTTTCGGCCGTTTTCGTTTTTATTAGTCGCCGTCGAAACGCTATAGTTTAATTGATCACTCAAACTTGTTAGACGTAATAAAATATTGTTTTTATTTGTATTAAAAGGTATGGGCTATCTAATCGTCTAATCGTCTTTTATAAAAGCTTTATAATGTCATTTTAATACTATAATACTCCTGAAATACATATTTAAATACTTGTAGGTAGTACCTATTTTATTATTAATGTTATTTGATGATATATTTGATCTTATGATAATAATTTGTTTGTAAAAATATAAAATTATTATAGCTGATGATACGATACACATACGATCGCTGTGACTGTTGATATCAACATCAAGCGTGAATAATAGTTATTTTATTGTTTTATTAAAATGTCAAAATGTAGTGCTGATTTTATGTAAATTTTTTTTTTTTTTAAATGTATTATTGAAGGCTATACAAATTATAGTCATGTTGACGACTCATTCATTAAATCTTCTAATCAAAAGTTTAGACCATGATCCAATTCAAAGACTGCTCGTTATCCCAAATCAGATCAAAAGTAGGTACTATAGAAAATATAACTATAGATATAGCCAACAGAGGAATCGTTTTAAGCCCAAAATCAATAATTGATGATTTTACTAAAAAATAGTTAGTTGAAAATCACTGGAAACCGATAATTGGTTATGACTTTAACCAAATCATAAAAAAATGGAATTATCGGTAAAAGA